TTTTATTTCTGTATTTTTTTTCTTTCTTTCATTACTTAGTTTCGGTGGGATCTCGCCGAAACAAATAATAAAAATAAAACGAAACAAGAGAATAATTGCTACTTCTTTTGTAACCGTTAAGATCCCAAAGCTTTTTATATTCTAAAGCTTTTTTAATCAACCTCTTATTTGACATAGTTTCCTTTCTACAGCAAAATTGAAAACACAAAGTAAACCTTTTAATCTTTTGTAGATAACTGTACCTACTTAGAAAACCACCCTCCGTATCCTCCTTAAAATAAAATTGTTCCTTGTTAACACCCTTCATGGGTGAAGAAGTCTCCCTTTTTCTTTTCTTTTCATTTCCCATCCCCGCTTCATTTCCCTACCAATTTTAATTATCCTCATTTCCATTTTCTCCACTTTTACTTTCTTCGCATAGACTTTTTTATCCAGCATCAAATTCCAATCTTGTTAAGGTTGAGTAAAAGACGTCCTTCGACTTCCACGAGGAAAAACGTAATACGTTGGACCTTTTAATAAATGAAGTACAGCTGCTCTTGTATTAATAATGTAAAGAGAGGATTTATGACTTTGGTTGTTGAGGTGTGGTTATTTCTCTTTTTGGTGTACACGAGAATGTCTGAAATGAAAAAAAGAGTTAAAATAAAAAATTATTAAATCTCTCTCCTATAAGAAAATGAAAAGAGAAACCATATTTTGATCATTATGGCCGCTTCAGTAACTTTTAGAAAGTTTAGAAACGACGGACGTCGCGACGCTTTAAAAGGCGTGGCGACGCACCCTCCTTTCGAAGGGCGTGCGGCTCTCAACCAATGGGAAAAAAGTCCCTTTGAGTCCCGGAAGTGAAAACCCTTCATTCGAGAACACGTTCGCGAAGGGGAATAGTCAATCGAGTCGACCAGGTAGAAATTTTAAGGTCGGTTTACACTAAAAGAATGATTTCTTCATTCTGTGCAATTCGAAATTTGTTAAATATCTAAAAAAAATTGATTTTTGGAAGGCCTAAATAATTTTTTAGTCATATTTGCTTCTATAAATGGTGAGGAATGCGATGAAGTTAAAATTAAATCGATGGCAACAACTAAAAATTTGCAAAATATCTAAAAAAACTTAATTTTTGAGAGAAATATAAAGTGGCATAAAAAATTTTCTTGCTATATTTGCTACTATAGATGATGAGAAATGCGATGAAGTTGAAATTAGATTGATGGAAAGTTCTGTTCAGCTCGAAATTTACAAAATATCTAAAAAAAAACTGATTTTTGTAAGGCCTACATGATTTTCTCGTCATATTTGCTTCTATAAATGATGAGGAATGCGATGAAGTTAAAATTAAATCGATGGAAAGTTCTGAACAACTAAAATTTTGCAAAATAGCTAAAAAACTTAATTTTTGGGAGAAATATAAAGTGACATAACGAATTTTTTTGCTATATTTGCTACTGTAGATTATAAAAAATGTGATTAAGTTGAAATTAGATTGATGAAAAGTTCTGTTCAGCTCGAAATTTACAAAATATCTAAAAAAAAACTGATTTTTGTAAGGCCTAAATGATTTTCTCGTCATATTTGCTTCTATAAATGATGAGGAATGCGTTGAAGTTAAAATTAAATCGATGGAAAGTTCTGAACAACTAAAAATTTGTAAAATATCTAAAAAAACTTAATTTTTGAGAGAAATATAAAGTGGCATAAAAAATTTTCTTGCTATATTTGCTACTATAGATGATGAGAAATGTGATGAAGTTGAAATTAGATTGATGAAAAGTTCTGTTCAGCTCGAAATTTACAAAATATCTAAAAAAAAACTGATTTTTGTAAGGCCTAAATGATTTTCTCGTCATATTTGCTTCTATAAATGATGAGGAATGCGTTGAAGTTAAAATTAAATCGATGGAAAGTTCTGAACAACTAAAAATTTGTAAAATATCTAAAAAAACTTAATTTTTGAGAGAAATATAAAGTGGCATAAAAAATTTTCTTGCTATATTTGCTACTATAGATGATGAGAAATGCGATTAAGTTGAAATTAGATTGATGGAAAGTTCTGTTCAGCTCGAAATTTACAAAATATCTAAAAAAAAACTGATTTTTGTAAGGCCTAAATGATTTTCTCGTCATATTTGCTTCTATAAATGATGAGGAATGCGTTGAAGTTAAAATTAAATCGATGGAAAGTTCTGAACAACTAAAAATTTGTAAAATATCTAAAAAAACTTAATTTTTGAGAGAAATATAAAGTGGCATAAAAAATTTTCTTGCTATATTTGCTACTATAGATGATGAGAAATGCGATGAAGTTGAAATTAGATTGATGGAAAGTTCTGTTCAGCTCGAAATTTACAAAATATCTTAAAAAAAAAGTGATTTTTGTGAGGTCTAAATAATTTTCTCGTTATATTTGCTTCTATAAATGATGAGGAATGCGATAAAGTTAAAATCAAATCGATGGAAAGTTCTGAACAACTAAAATTTTGCTAAATATCTAAAAAAACTTAATTTTTGGGAGAAATATAAAGTGACATAACGAATTTTTTTGCTATATTTGCTACTGTAGATTATGAAAAATGCGATGAAGTTGAAATTAGATTGATGGAAAGTTCTGTTCAGCTCGAAATTTGCAAAATATCTAGAAAACTTAATTTTTGGAAGAAATTTAAAATGGCATAAAGAATTTTCTTGCCCTATTTGCTAATATAAATGATAAGAAATGCAATGACGTTCAAATTAAAGTTATGAAAAGTTCTACTCAACTCAAAATGTACGAAAATTTTAGAAAAATTGGTTTTGCAAAGGAACTTCTCATTACAAATGGTTGATAAATTGATCTCGGAGGCAAAAATTGACCTACGAGTGAGATCATGAAACTAGGACATTTTGTAGACCTTACTGCCCTTCAAAGTCTTTTTGACACACTTGCCATGTATAAACATGATATCACTGCATTATAAATGAGATGATATGGGACTGGTACAATAGAGAAAACGAAATACAGTCTTCTATAGCTGCCAAAGAGGGCGACAGGCTTCGAACCAACAAACGCTAGATTCTACAAATTACTAATAAAAAGAAAGTTAATCGAAGTACCTTAAAGAACACACAAACAATGCCCAAGGCAAGAAAGCAATGACGATGGAAAAACACTCATAAATCTGCATCAATGAAGTACTAGATATGAGATCCCCACTAGATTTCGACCACTACTTAGTAAATGCATCAATGAGAAGAAAGACGGAATCACAAAGAGCCCCTAAACTTAACATCGAACGATTAAAAGAGGAGGAAACTGCAGTAAACTTTGCTATGAAGCTGCATAGTGCACTGGAGCCACTCGAGATTGAGGTTGGTCCGTCAGGAGCGAAAATGTCATGAAAATTGTTTTGGCAAAGAAATAAGAAACGTCAAAAATGTATTTTTTTCATATTATCTATTTTAAACATAATGAGGAATGTAATGTAATTAATATTGAATTAATGAAAAAAACTGCGCAAGTCTGAGGAATGCGCTAAAGTTGAAATTAAACTGATGAAAACTTCTGATCAGCTCGAAATTAGTAAAATCGTACCTTCACGTCTTTGTTGTGTGCTCCGGACAATGAAGGGCGTCTACTAAGATTTATGTTATGCAGCAAACGAATCAGGGTAAAAAGGAGTTTTTAGCCTATAAAAACTGGAACTTATTGGCTAAGGTATAACTCCTACAAAAAAGTCTATGGCCCTCCAGTTGGGGGGTTGAGCATGGTGCCAACAACCCTATCTCCTAAAAATAATTATTGTTGTAAAAATTAAAGGACAAAAAAACAAAGGGATCTCAGGCAGACAATCAGGCAAATAGAAAATGGACTGGGTACCCTTCCAAGTCTTTTTGACACACTTGACAAGTATAAACTCGACACAACTGCAGTACAAGAAATATTGAAATTGGACTAGTATAATGAAGAAAACGGGCCATACAGTCTTCTATAGCTGCCAAACCGACAGCTCTCGGATTCGGCTTCGTAGTTAAAAGCACAATTAAACACACTGTTAATTTCGAACCAACAAACGCAAAACTTTGCAAATTGCGAATAAGGACTGTATATGCATATATGACTATACATATACAAAAGTATATGTAACTGGAAAAGGACATGTTTTACGAGAAACTATCGCCATTTTACGGAATGACGATTAAATAAAGCTCATAAATTTGGCAGCATCAATAAATATGCCTCTATCAAGCACTTGCTTACACATAATAACAAATATGAGACACTAAACTGACATTATTAACTGTAGAAACTACTGGGGCGCTAATATAGACTCCGACCACTACTAGTAGGAAAACGGAAACACAAAGAACCCTCATCGAACGATTAAAAGAGAAGGAAATCGCAGTAAAATTTCCTATAAAACTGAATTGTGAATTGGAGCCATTAGAGATCGAGGTTGGCCCCTTAGGAGTGAACGCCAGCTTGACAAGAGTTCAGAATACAACTTGACAAGTGGCTTAGAAGACTTTAATCACAGATAAGATCATCAAGCATTATGGCAGAAGAAGGCATATTTAGTGATGTTGAGTACAAGAACTATCAAAATGTATTCATGTAAGTATTGTCATTTGAAACAACTACCCAACGAAAGATGGCGTTAGTGCGAAATTAAAAACTTAAATTGCGTGGACATATCAGATGACTTAAACATGACACTAATGTGAAGCTCGGTAATTATTTTAAGTATTAGTTGGAAGCGCTTCTACCTTACAAAGATATAATAATATCTTGTTTACTTTGTTTTACTTACTTAGTATGTAATTAGTAAAAGTAATAGATTTTAATACATGAAAAGGCTGATTATAAATAATAACTTATTTTTGTGTTGCAAGGATTGTTTTTTAAGGTGACGACATTGAATTAAAATTAAAAACATTAATGAGCAAAAGATGTTGTTAGAGAATTAATTACAGGAAATAAATGTAATGGAATTTTATGACAAACTCAGAAATATTACATTTATCTTTTAAACTAATTAAAAATATTTATTAAGATTTATTTTATCCAAAAACAATCAATGTTTCTTAATAAAATAAGATCGTCCATTTGGATTACTAATATGCCCTTTAACTGGAGATTCAAGACACCATTCATACCAAACTTTTTCGTTAGATTCCGACCTCCACATAGAAACTTCAATTATATCATTTTCAGCCACATTAATCGGGTGCTAAAAAGTTACAAATATCTTTAAATACACCTAAATCAAAAAAACAAAACAATTATCTTACCTGTAACGGAAAAATAATGGGAAACCAACTAACCATATTACTGGAATAAGTTTGGGGATTAATACTCAACATAACATCTTTATAAAGAACCGTTTCAAAGAAACCTAAAAATCCAGTTAACAAACAATTTTGGGGACAAAGAAATTTGATGGTTTTAAATCGTTCGTTTGATTTATTTTCGTCCCAATTCGGATGTTCGAATTTAAACAAAGCTTTCGAATCGGCTATTTGGTAATAATTAACCATGTGAACAACGTACGGTGTCTCATAAATCGTTTCAATAGTTTTGTCATCAGGCTTATTCGATCGAATTTCATTAAAAATTTTCGTACTTTGAAACGGTGCCAAATACGAAGTGTACGATTGCGGGATTGAAATCCCACCCGGTTTCTTTAAAAACCGTTGAGCCCCATCTAAACACTCCGGCGATAATTCATTATCACCAAATGAACCTAATAACTCAGAAACTAAAATATCAGCTTGTTCCGGTGGTTGATAAGTCCTCATATCTTCGTTTATTAAGGTTACAATGTTTCCCCATTCGTTTAATACTCGATCTTCGAGGGTGTTGATGGCGAAAGGATTTTTTTCGACGGCGTAAACTTTAATTTTTCGTTGTGTTAAGATTGAGGCGTTTATTACTGCTTGAACTAAAGGTCCTCGTCCTGCTCCCAGCACCATAATAACTGGAGTGGTAATTTCTTTTGGGATATCTTCAAGAGCTCGTTGAATCGCTTTTTGATATTCGACGTATTTGACTTGATCGCGTTCGAAAACTTCGTAAATCATCGTTTCTAAATGCTCGCTAAGTGGTTGTAAAGGATTTTGTAAGTAATCTTCGCACCTAAAAATTGATTTATTAAAATTATTAATAAATAAACTCTTTCTTCTTTAGTTATATATAACAATATAATAAAAATATATAACATAGTAATATCTTATACTATAAAATGTTATATTTGACAGATTAATTGTCAAAAATATTAGATTTAAAAGATTTCTTGATATTAAAATGTTTAAAAATGTTAAATATGACTCTTTAAAGTCAATAACTTTAAAGGAAAAAGTTTATGATTTTAGAATTTGAAAATATGTCATATTTGACAGTTTAAATGTCAAAAGATGTGGAAATTTATAAATTTCTTGCTATTAAAATGTCAAATTTGACAGATTAAATGTCAAAAATAGAAGAAATAAAAGATTTTTTGATATTAAAATGTTCAGAAATGTCAAAAGTTTTAGAAATAATAAATTTCTTGATATTAAAATGCCAAATCTGACAGTTTAAATGCCAAAAATATTAGAATTAAAAGATTTCTTGATATTAAAATGTTTAGAAATGTCAAATATGACACTTTAAAGTCAATAACTTTAAAGGAAAAAGTTTTTGATTTTAGAATTTGAAGATATGTCATATTTGATAGTTTAAATGTCAAAAATACAAGAAATAAAAGATTTTTTTGATATTAAAATGTTCAGAAATGTCAAGTTCTAGAAATAATAAATGTCCTGATATTAAAACGCCAAATCTGACAATTTAAATGTCAAAAATACTAGATATAAAAGATTATTTGATATCAAAATGTCTAGAAGTGTCAAATTTGACAGTTTACAGTAAAAAATGTTACAGGAATAAAACTTTTTGATTATAAAATTTGAAAATATGTCATACATATGTGACAGTTTAAATGTGAAAAGATTTGATAGTTTAAAGTAAAAAATGTTAAAGGAATAACTTTTTCTGATTATAAAATTTGAAAATATGTCAAATTTGACAGTTTAAATATCAAAAATACTAGATAGAAAAGATTTCGTGATATTAAAATGTCTACAAGTGTCAAATTTACATTGTTAGTTCTAGTTTTAGTTCAATAAAAATATATAACATAGTAATATCTTACGCTAACTAGCGCTACCTACCACTGCCACTAGAACTTACACAAGACCTAGAACTAGAATCATTCGGGTTTAGTCGTCTTGAGAGACATGCAGCTGAACCCGAATGTTTCTAGTTCTACATAGGTTTTGTGTTACTTCTAGCGATAGTGTTAGTGTAAAACTGGAACTAACACTAGACGTAGAACTAGAAACATTCGGGTTTAGTCGCACGTCTCTCAAGACGGCTAAACCCGAATGATTCTAGTTCTAGGTCTTGTGTTAGTTCTAGTTTTACACTATCACAAGAACTAACATTAAACCGAGAACTAGAATCATTCGGGTTAAGTCCCACGTCTCTCAAGATGACTGAACCCGAATAATTCTAGTTCTAGGTCTTGTGTTAGTTCTAGTGATAGTGTAAAACTAGAACTAACACTAGACCGAAAACTAGAATCATTCGGGTTTAGCCCCACGTCTCACAAGATGGCTAAACCCAAATGTTTTTAGTTCTAGGTCTATTGTTAATTCTAGTACCAGTGCAAGTGTAGAACTAGAACTAACACTAGAACTACACCTAGAACAAGAATCATTCGGGTTTAGCCGTCTTGAGAGAGGTCCGACTAAACCCGAATGTTTCTAGTTCTACATGTAGTGTTAGTTCCAGTTTTACATTAACACTATCGCTAGAAGTAACACAAAACCTATAACTAGAAACATTCGGGTTCAGCTGCAAGCCTCCCAAGACGGCTAAACACGAATGATTCTAGTTCTAGGTCTTGTGTTAGTTCTAGTGGCAGTGGTAGGTAGCGCTACAACATAGTATAAGATATTACTATGTTGTATATTTTTATTGAACTCAAACTAGAACTAACAAAAAAATTAACAATGATAAATTTGACACTTGTAGACATTTTAATATCAAGAAATCTTTTCTATCTAGTATTTTTGATATTTAAACTGTCAAATTTGACATTTGTACATATTTTAATATCAAGAAATCTTTTATTTCTAGCATTTTTAACATTTAAACTATCAAATTTGATGTTTTAACATCAAGAAATTTATTATTTGAAAATCTTTTTAAATTTAAACTGTCAAATATGACATATTTTCAAATTTTATAATCAGAAAATCTTATTCCTCTAACATTTTTTACTTTAACTTGTCAAATTTGACACTTGTAGACATTTTAATATCAAAAAATCTTTATATATAGTATTTTTGATATTTAAACAGTCAGATTTGGCATTTTGATTTCAAGAAATTTATTATTTCTAGAACTTTTGACATTTAAACTGTTAAATTTGACATTTCTGAACATTTCAATATCAAAAAATCCTTTCTTGTATTTTTGATATTTTAATATCAAGAAATTTATTAATTCCAAATCTTTTGACATTTAAACTGTTAAATATGACATATTTTCAAATTTTAAAATCAATACCATTTTCCTTTAAAGTTATTGACTTTAAACTGTCATATTTGACATTTCTAAACATTTTAATATCAAGAAATCTTTTTTTTCTTTATTTTTTTTGACATTTAAACTATCAAGTATAACATATGTAATTTCAAATTTTATAATCAGAAAATCTTTTTCCTTTAACATTTTTAACATTAAACTGTCAAATTTGACACTTGTAGACATTTTAATATCAAGAAATCTTGTATATCTAGTATTTTTGATATTGAAACTGTCAAATTTGACATGTCTACATATTTTAATATCAAGAAATCTTTTATTTCTAGCATTTATGACATTTAAACTTTCAAATTTATTATCAAAAAATTTATTACTTCCAGAACTTTTGTGTTTTAAACTGTCAAGTATGATATATTTTCAAATTTTAAAATCATAAAATCTTTTGCTTTTAACATTTAAACTGTCACATTTGACATTTTAACAGCAAGAAATTTATTATTTCCAAATCTTTTGACATTAAACTGTCACATATGTATGACATATTTTCAAATTTTATAATCAAAAAGTCTTATTCCTGTAACATTTTTTACTGTAAACTGTCAAATTTGACACTTCTAGACATTTTGATATCAAATAATCTTTTATATCTAGTATTTTTGACAATTAAAGTGTCAGATACATGACATTTTAATATAAAGAAATTTATTATTTCTAGAACTTGACATATCTGAACATTTTAATATCAAAAAATCTTTTATTTCTTGTATTTTGACATTTAATTCGTCAAATTTAACATTTTAATAACAAGAAATTTATTATTTCCAAATCGTTTGACATTTAAACTGTCAAATATGACATATTTTTAAATTCTAAAATCAAAAACTTTTTCCTTTAAAGTTATTGACTGTAAAGTGTCATATTTGACATTTCTAAACATTTTAATATCAAGAACTCTTTTAATTCTAATATTTTTGACATTTAAACTGTCAGATTTGGCATTTTAATATCAAAAAATCTTTTATTTCTTGTATTTTTGACATTTAATCTGTCAAATTTGACATTTTTATATTAAGCCACTTATTATTTCCAAATCGTTTGACTTTTAAACTGTCAAATGTGACATATTTTCAAATTTTAAATTCAAAAACTTTTTCCTTTAAAGTTATTGACTTTAAAGTGTCATATTTGACATTTCTAAACGTTCTAATATCAAGAAATCTTTTCATTCTAATATTTTTGACATTTAAACTGTCAAGTATGACATAATTTTAAATTTTATAATCAGAAAATCTTTTTCCTTTAACATTTTTGACATTAAATTGTCAAATTTGACACTTGTAGACATTTTAATATCAAGAAATCTTTTATATCTAATATTTTTGATATTGAAACTGTCAAATTTGACATTTCTACATATTTTAATACCAAGAAATCTTTTATTTCTAGCATTTTTGACATTTAAACTGTCAAATTTGACATTTCAATCAAAAAATTTATTATTTCCAGAACTTTTGTGTTTTAAAATGTCAAGTATGACATATTTCCAAATTTTAAAATCATAAAATCTTTTTCCTTTAAAATTTTTGACATTTAAACTGTCAAATTTGAAATTTTAACATCAAGAAATTTATTATTTCCAAATCTTGTGACATTTAAACTGTCAAATATGACATATTTTCAAATTTTATAATCAAAAAAATCTTATTCCTGTAACATTTTTTACTTTAAACTGTCAAATTTGACACTTCTAGACATGTCAGACTTAGCATTTTAATATCAAAAAATTTATTATTTCTAGAACTTGACATTTCTGAACATTTTAATATGATATATCTTCAAATTCTAAAGTCAAAAACTTTTTACTTTAAAGTTATTGACTTTAAACTGTCATATTTGACATTTCTAAACATTTTAATATCAAAAAATCTTTTAATTCTAATACTTTTCACATTTAAACTGTCAAACTTGGCATTTTAATAACAAGAAATCTATTATTTCCACATCTTTTGACATTTAAACTGTCAAATTTGACATTTTAACATCAAGAAATTTATTATTTCCAAATCTTGTGACATTTAAACTGTCAAATATGACATATTTTCAAATTTTATAATCAAAAAAACCTTATTTCTTTAACATTTTTTACTTTAAACTGTCAAATTTGACACTTCTAGACATTTTGATATCAAATAACCTTTTATATCTAGTATTTTTGACATTTATACTGTCAGACTTAGCATTTTAATATCAAAAAATTTATTATTTCTAGAACTTGACATTTCTGAATATTTTAATATGACATATCTTCAAATTCTAAAATCAAAAACTTTTTCCTTTAAAGTTATTGACTTTAAACTGTCATATTTGACATTTCTAAACATTTTAATATCAAAAAATCTTTTAATTCTAATACTTTTCACATTTAAACTGTCAAACTTGGCATTTTAATAACAAGAAATCTATTATTTCCACATCTTTTGACATTTAAACTGTCAAATATGACATATTTTCAAAATTTATAATCAGAAAAGTTATTGACTTTAAACTGTCTAAACATTTTAATATTTGTTGTTAATATTTGACATTTCTAAACATTGTAATATCAAGATATCTTCTAATTCTAATATTTTTGACATTTAAACTGTCAAACTTTGCATTTTAATACAAAAAAATTTATTATATCTAGAACTTTTGACATTTAAACTGTCAAGTATGACATAATTTCAAATTTTATAATCAGAAAATCATTTTCCTTTAACATTTTTGACATTTAAACTGTTAAATTTGACACTTTTGTCATTTCACATTGATTAAAAAAAATTGGTGATTTTTAAGCTTTTAAACTCTTTTTATCCAAGATTTAGTTCTTACCCTTGAACAAATTCCATGACCGTTGATTCCTTATATAATTTTTTCCCCAAAAAGTGTATATAAGAATTATACTGCTTGTAAGAACTACTTCTAAGTGGTCCTCTTATGATATATTGAACATCGATTAACAAAAATCTTTGAATAATTTCTTGATGAACTTTTGATAAAACCGGTTGATTATGCCCGTTTGTTAAAAATAAATAAGTAGGGACAATAATTGCTTTAATTGGTTCTCCAACCCAACGATCCATTTCAATCTTACTTGGAACTTCCCCAACATTCGGCATCTCCAAAACTAAACCTAACCTCTTATCGTACCGACAATATCTTCGTAAATCATTCCACCATTCCCAAGAATCCTCAATTTCGTTCTTTTCACATAAAGGAGTGTACTTGGATGGATGCACCATCGGTAAAGTAACCCAAACTTGATAATTAGCCCCATTTAAAAACGTATTATGTAAAATATGGGCTAAATTAGGGTTCGATTTTTGATGCAATTGAATCATAATAGCCGGGAGTCCCAAATGACTCGCAAATCCTAATTCTTGTTTCAAAATAATCTCACTTCTTTCTTTGACATGTTTGATTTCACTATCGACTTGAAGGGTACTTAATTTCCCCACAATTAATCTCGTCCAATCATTTCCAGTTAAAATTCGATCTGTTCTGCTGATTGATTTCGATGTAACAACTCTTTTTTGAATCGTACGATGATACTGGGGGTGAATTAAACATGTTACAATAAAGTGATAACCATCCGAAGTCGATTTGGAGAGAGCATCTTGTATACTAGCTGGACAATCCAATTCTAAACCACAAGACATTCTTTTAAACTTTTCTTGATCTCCATCTCCACTCATTTTGTTATTATTAATTTGAAATAAATTGGATTCAAAGAAATTTTTCCGGTAGCGTTATAAACTTAACCTATAAACATAGAAATTTTTGAGGTTAGAATTAAAATTGATTAATAAAAAAAGTGATATTGAATATATTTATTGATAAAAATTGAATTTTAAAATCAACATTGAAAAAGATTAGTTTTGAAATGATAAAATTAAATTTTAATTAATTAATTTAAAAATTTTTAATATGTGTAATTTGGGTTGCATACATTAAGTTTTTAATTTAAAATTATGGATGTAATCCACCATAAGATAGATCCATCGTAACAAGATGGTATGTTATAATTGTAAATAAACACCATTTTATAGTAAATTTAATCTAGATTCATCAACATCATAAATCTCGGAGATACGATTTTTTTTAAATCAACTCTGCAGTTATTGAGCTTAAGTTGAGAAAAATGCAGATCAAAAAGATCATATCTCAAGAATGAATTGAGATATCATCATGAAACAAACACCATTTTATAGTCAATTTAATCTAGATTCAACACAACAAAAATAATTTCTTCGTTCCTATAAATCTCGGAGATATGATTTTTTTAAATCAACTCTGCAGTAATTGAGGTTAAGTTGATAAAAATGCAACTTCAAAAGATCATATCTCAGGAACGAATGAAGATATCATCATGACATAAACACCATTTTATAGTAAATTTAATCTAGATTTAACATACCAAAAATAATTTCTTCATTCCTATAAATATCGGAGATTCGATTTTTTTAAATCAACTCTGCAGTTAATGAGGTTAAATTGATAAAAATGTAATCAAAAGAATCATATCTCAAGAACGAATTGAGATATCATCATGAAATAAATACCATTTTATAGTAAATTTAGTCTAGATTCAAGATACCAAAAATAATTTCTTTATTCCTATAAATCTCGGAGATACGATTTTTTAAATCAACTCTGCAGTTAATGAGGTTAAGTTGATAAAAATGTAATCAAAAGTATCATATCTCAAGAACGAATTTAGGTATCAAGATTATTTAAACACCATTCTATAGTAAATTTAATCTAGATTCAACACATCAAAAATGATTCCTTTATTCCTATAAATCTAGGAGATACGATTTTTTTAAATCAACTCTGCAGTAATTGAGGTTAATTTGATAAAAATGCAACTCAAAAAAATCATATCTCAAGAACGAATTGAGATATTATCATGAAATAAACACCATTTTATAGTAAATTTAATCTAGATTCAACAAACCAAAAATAATTTCTTCATTCCTATAAAACTCGGAGATACGATTTTTTTAAATCAACTCTGCAGTTGTTGAGGTTAAGTCAATAAAAATGTAATCAAAAGAATCATATCTCAAGAACGAATTTAGGTATCAAGATGATTTAAACACCATTCTATAGTAAATTTAATCTAGATTCAACACAACAAAAACGATTCCTTTATTCCTATAAATCTCGGAGATACGATCTTTTTAAATCAACTCTGTAGTTATTGAGGTTAAGTTGATAAAAATGCAACTCAAAAAGATCATATCTCAAGAACGAATTGAGATATCATCATGAAATAAACACCATTTTATAGTAAATTTAATCTAGATTGAAGATACCAAAAATAATTTCTTCATTTCTATAAATCTCGGAGATACGATTTTTTTAAATCAGCTCTATTTATTGGGGTTAAGTTGATAAAAATGCAACTCAAAAAGATCAGATCTCAAGAATGAATTGAGATACCATCATGAAATAAACACCATTTTATAGTAAATTTGATCTAGATACAATATACCAAAAATGATTCTTTTATTCCTAAAAATCTCGGAGATACGATTTTTTTAAATCAACTCTGCAGTTAATGAGGTTAAGTTGATAAAAATGTAATCAAAAGAATCATATCTCAAGAACGAATTTAGGTACCAAGATGATTTAAACACCATTTTATAGTAAATTTAATCTAGATTCAGCATACCAAAAATAATTTCTTGGTTCCTATAAATCTCGGAGATATGATTTTTTTAAATCAACTCTGCAGTAATTGAGGTTAATTTGATAAAAATGCAACTCAAAAAAATCATATCTCAAGAACGAATTGAGATATCATCATGAAATAAACACCATTTTATAGTAAATTTAATCTAGATTCAACACATCAAAAATAATTTCTTCATTCCTATAAATCTCGGAGATACGATTTTTTTAAATCAACTCTACAGTTATTGAGGTTAAGTTGATAAAAATACAACTCAAAAAGATCATATCTCAAGAACGAATTGAGATATTATCATGAAATAAACACCATTTTATAGTAAATTTAATCTAAATTCAACATACCAAAAATAATTTCTTCATTCCTATAAATCTTAGAGATACGATTTTTTTAAATCAACTCTACAGTTATTGAGGTTAAGTTGATAAAAATACAACTCGAAAAGATCATATCTCAAGAACGAATTGAGATATTATCATGAAATAAACACCATTTTATAGTAAATTTAATCTAAATTTAACATACCAAAAATAATTTCTTCATTCCTATAAATCCCGGAGATACGATTTTTTTAAATCAACTCTGCAGTTATTAAACTTAAATTGAGAAAAATGCAGATCAAAAAGATCATATCTCAAGAACGAATTGAGATATCATCATGAAATAAACACCATTTTATAGTAAATTTAATCTAGATACAACATACCAAGAATTATTCTTCTATTTAAGAATAAGCGACCTCGGCTTAATACAACAACATTGTGTATATCATTGTATTAAGTGGAGGTCGTATGTGGTCGAGGCGCTACAGTTAACGTTGACATCGGTGTCAAACAATGTATCGCCTCGGCCGCAAGTGACCTCGGTTTAATACACTGAAATACACCATGTCACATAAATTGTTGATATGTATTTGTTTGCATATAAATGTCAATGTGAAATAAAAAGTGTCAATTAATTAAAAGAAAAAATTAATATTCAAGATAAATCAAAATTTAAAGTCTTATTTGGGAGCTAACTAGTTATGGTTTTAAAACTATTTTTCTGTGCGATTAGTCCACCTTGTAGGGCTGTCAAATTGGCGCTAAACGCGCTACACCTTAACGTTCAATACGAAGACGTGGACATTTTGACCAGAAAGTACTTGCAAACGCAATTACCAAAGGTTTTTATTTATTTGTTGTATAACTTTAATATAAAGTAACCTTTTTTTTATGTGTAGATAAATCCTCAACACACGGTGCCGACTTTAGTTGATGGGGACTCAATAATTTGGGATAGCCACGCTATCAACATTTACTTAGTACAAAAATATGCCCCGGATTATTCTTTATATCCAGCGGATCCGTATCAAAGAGCAATCATTAATCAACGATTGCATTTTGATAGCGGATTAATGTATCCTTGCATATACAACTCGGTCGTTTCAATATTATTCAAGCAAATGAGAAATTTGAATCAACATCAATTGATAGCCGTCAAACAAATTTATGCGTTTGCCGAAAAGTTTTTAACTCAGAACGAATGGATAGCTGGAGATAAATTAACCGTAGCCGATTTTAGTTGCATGTCTTCGCTGAGTACTTTAGATTACATATTTCCTGTATCATCAAAAACCACGCCAAAATTGATGAGGTATTTAGAGCGAAGTCAAGATTTACCCTATTACGAACTTGCGAACCAAGAGGGTTTAAATCAACTTGGAAAATTAATGCAGGAAAAGGTTTTAAAAGCTTCTAAAAATATAACGATGAATATTGGGAATTAAAGTGTATCAACAACATTGTTTTTATAAAAGTTTAAAAGAAACAAAGCTTTATTATTACTATTTAACAGTATAAATTCTTTTGGAAATCACTTGTTTAAGTAAATAGTAATTCGATCAAATAGCAATTCGTTATCACACAATATTGACAAATAAAAACATGTTACAATAAACGTTTTTTTTTTAATCTAATAAATATTAAATATGTGTATAAGGGGTTAGATCACAATAAATATGGGCTCATGTATTCAAATTCTTCTACCTAAAACATCTTCGACTAACAAATCCAATTTTGCAAGTCCGTTACTATTCGCTTCTTTATAATACGGTAATTTCTTACAAGTCGAGAACCATTGAAACAATTTCGGATGTCTAGCCGAACAAATTGGGGTAAAAACAGTCGCAGTACTAACAGTTGCTAAACAAGAAAGATCCGCAATCGTTAAAGAGTCCCCTGTAAGATATTGACTATCTTGTAATCTTCGTTCCAAGCAATTATACGATTCTTGTAGTGAAACGATGACTTTGTTTGAGAGTTCTATAAGATTCGAAACTAAAACTGCATGCTGAAATAAATGATTAATTAATTTTTGTATTGAAGTTAATGAAGTAAAAAAATTATTTAATTTAGCTTACCAATATGCAATTTAACGGTGGTTTTAAAAATTGTTCATCCAAATCGAGAATTTCTTGTATTTTTGCTTTTACTGATTCGTCGTTCGGATAAGCTGGGTGATTTATTCTCGATCTATCAACTAAGTACATTAAAATTTTTCTGGGGTTTGTTATAAAATCGTTTGATTCTGTATCAACTAGTATCACATCGGAAGTTACAACTAAATCCTGTAAAATAAAAAATAATATATTCGATCATTTCAAAAATTTATTTCTCAAGAACTGAAAGTTATTTTTCAAAACGGCTTTTTGCATTAAAAAGGGGATACTTTAATTAATAATTGGTGATATTTCCACAAAGATTCTTCAAGAAATTAATTTTGTAGCGAATTTTGAAAGTTATCGATGAAAATTGCAACATCGAAAATTTTATTAAATTAATATTGTTTTCTCAAAAACTAAAAGTTATTTTTAAAAACGGGTTGATTCATTGGAAAGAGGCCACTTTTATTAATACTTTGGGAAATTTTCATACTGATATTCCAAGAAATGGATTTTATACGAATTTTTAAAACTTAATCGACAAAAATTGCAAAATTCGAAAAAATCGTCGATCATTTAAAAAATTTATTTCTCAAGAACTAAAAGTGATTTTTCAAAACGGCTTTTTGCATTAAAAAGAGGATACTTTAATTAATAATTGGTGATATTTCCACAAGGATCCTTCAAGAAATTAATTTTGTAGCGAATTTTGAAAGTTATCGATGAAATTTGCAACATCGAAAATTTTATCAAAACTTCAAATATTGTTTTCTCAAAAACTAAAAGTTATTTTTCAAAACGAGTTGGTTCACTGGAAAGAGGACACTTTTATTAACATTTTGGGAAATTTTCAACCTCATATTCCAAGAACTGGATTTTATACGAATTTTTAAAATTTAATCGACGAAAATTGCAAAATTCGACAAAATGTCGATCATTTTAAAAATTATTTCTCAAGAACTGAAAGTGATTTTTCAAAACGGTTTTTTGCATTAGAAAGAGGATACTTTAATTAATAATCGGTGATATCTCCACAAGGATCCTTCAAGAAATTAATTTTATAGAGAAATTTTAAAAATTATCGATGAAAATTGCAACATTGAAAATTTTATTAAAACTTCAGATATTGTTTTCTCCAAAATTAAAAGTCATTTTTCAAAACGGGTTTGTTCATTGGAAAGAGGACACTTTTATTAACACTTTGGGGAATTTTCAAACTCACATTCTAAGAACACAATTTTATACGAATTTTTAAAACTTAATCGGCGAAAATTGCAAAATTCGAAAAAATTGTCGATTATTTCAAAAATTTTTTTCTCAAGAACTAAAATTGATTTTTCAAAACGGCTTTTTGCATTAAAAAGAGGATACTTTAATTAATAATTGTTGATATTTCCACGAGGATCCTTCAAGAAATTAATTTTGTAGCGAATTTTGAAAGTTATCGATGAAAATTGCAACATCGAAAATTTTATCAAAACTTCAAATATTGTTTTCTCAAAAACTGAAAGTTATTTTTCAAAACGGGTTGGATCATTGGGAAGAGAACACTTTTATTAACATTTTGGGAAATTTTTAAACTCATATTCCAAGAACTGGATTTTATACGAATTTTTAAAACTTAATCGGCGAAAATTGCAAAGTTCGAAAAAATTGTCGATGATTTCAAAAATTTATTTCTCAAAAACTAAAAGTGATTTTTCAAATCGGCTTTTTGCATTAAAAAGAGGATACTTTAATTAATAATTGGTGACATTTTCACAAGGATCCTTCAAGAAATTAATTTTATAGCGAATTTTGAAAATTATCGATGAAAATTGCAACATCGGAAATTTAATCATAACTTCAAATATTGTTTTCTGAAAAACTAAAAGTTATTTTTCAAAACGGGTTGGTCCATTGGAAAGAGGACACTTTTATTAACACTTTGGGAAATTTTCATACTCATAGTCCAAGAAATGGATTTTATACGAATTTTTAAAACTTAATCGGCGAAAATTGCAAAATTCGAAAAAATTGTCGATTATTTCAAAAATTTATTTCTCAAGAACTAAAAGTGATTTTTCAAAACGGCTTGTTGCATTAAAAAGAGGATACTTTAATTAATAATTGGTGATATTTCCACAAGGATCCTTCAAGAAATTAATTTTATAGCGAATTTTGAAAGTTATCGATGAAAATTGCAACATTGAAAATTTTATCAAAACTTCAAATATTGTTTTCTCAAAAACTAAAAGTTATTTTTCAAAACGGGTTAGTTCATTAGAAAGAGGACACTTTTATTAGCACTTTGGTAAATTTTCATACTCATATTCCAAAAACTGGATTTTATACGAATTTTTAAAACTTAATCGGCAAAATTTGAAAAATTATGCTGAATAAACTTTAGATAATCCGTTCAACTGTGGGGAAAACTTAAACATACTGAACGTCAACATATTTAGATGAAAAACGATTTATTTCTGTCGTCCAGCTCCTCATAAAACAAAGAACTAAGTTGGAAATTTGCCTCAAAGGAGACTTGCGCCTGAACTTGACGAACATAAACCGGATTATTAAAATTAAAATTGGGCATACAATGAAAATGACAAGGAGCGATAGGTGGTAGCCAACTTCTAGAAAGGGGAGATGGGACACAAAAGGTTGGGAACCACTGATCTAGACCATATCTTTTCTGTCCAAGATACTCTGGTTAACGACAGAAACTATTTGCTAGCTACCGGCTCATTTGAGATATATTTGATGTTGTTTGAAACTGTTACATTTGCAGGCTGTGATATATTTAAAGTAGTCCTTATAGTATCCTATGAAAGTTGCCTGCAAAGGAAAAACTCTTTCTACTTGTAAATGTCGTAACACACATATAAGAAATAAAATCCACGGGACAGAAACTTTTAATAACAGAGAGCCGAAGAAAGAACAAAGTATCTATACAATGCAACAAGGATCAGTGGAAAAAACCCTCCAAAACCCAACTGCCCCAACTGGATGTCAATCAATAATAACATTGGTTAAAAATTAATGTCAAAGTGAATCAAAAGGTCAAGTAGTAATTATTTATTGAGTTTAGTACAACTAATTGGTAGTTTTGAATACAAAAATCATTTGTGTTTTTTTTTGATAACGTTAAAGAGTTACTAAAAACTCGACAGAGTTATTTATCAAGCATTTTTGCCAAAACTTGTGGTATTTGTCAAAGAATACAGCAACAATTTCAATGTTTAGTGATTCTAACCAACAAGCAATTTGTAATCCTTTAGACAGAGTTTAACAAATTTCGAAAGTTATAAAAAATGTGTAATTAAAACTTTTTAAAAATATTTTTGTTAATGAGGCAACCCATTATACTAAAGTAATATTTGGGTTGCATACATTTAAATTGGTAATTTAATTAAAATTAAAATTTATAACTTAAAATATATATATAATTGGTGATATATCCACAAGGATCCTTCAAAAAATAAATGTTATAGCGAATTTTGAATGTTATCAATGAAAATTGCACAACAACATCGAAAATTTTATCAAAACTTCAAATATTGTTTTCTCATAAACTAAAAGGTATTTTTCAAAATAGGTTGGTTCATTGGAAAGAGGACACTTTTATTAACACTTTGGGAAATTTTCATACTCATATTCCAAGAAATGGATTTAATACGAGTTTTTAAAACTTAATCGGCGAAAATTGCAAAATTCGAAAAAATTGTGGATCATTTCAAAAATTTATTTCTCAAGAACTAATAGTGATTTTTCAAAACGGCTTTTTGCGTTAAAAAGAGGATACTTTATTTAATAATTGGTGATATTTCCACAAGGATTCTTCAAGAAATTAATTTTATAGCGAATTTTGAAAATTATCGATGAAAATTGCATCATTGAAAATTTTATCAAAACTTCAAATATTATTTTCTCAAAAACTAAAAGTTATTTTGCAAAACGGGTTTTTTCATCGGAAAGAGGACACTTTTATTAACACTTTGGGAAATTTTCATACTCATATTCCAAGAAATGGATATTATACGAATTTCTAAAATTTAATCGACAAAAATTGCAAAATTCGAAAAAATTTTCGATTATTTCGAAAATTTATTTCTCAAGAACTAAAAGTGATTTTTCAAAACGGATTTTTGCATTAAAAAGAGGATACTTTAATTAATAATTGTTGATATTTCCACGAGGATCCTTCAAGAAATTAATTTTGTAGCGAATTATGAAAATTATCGATGAAAATTGCAACATCGAAAATTTTATTAAAACTTCAAATATTATTTTCTCCAAAACTAAAAGTTATTTTTCAAAATGGGTTGGTTCATTGGAAAGAGGACACTTTTATTAACACTTTGGAAAATTTTCATACTCATATTCCAAGAAATGGATATTATACGAATTTTTAAAATTTAATCGACAAAAATTGCAAAATTCGAAAAAATTTTCGATTATTTCAAAAATTTATTTCTCAAGAACTAAAAGTGATTTTTCAAAACAGCATTTTGCATTAAAAAGAGGATACTTTAATTAATAATTGGTGATATTTCCACGAGGATCCTTCTAGAAATTAATTTTGTAGCGAATTTTGAAAGTTATCGATGAAAATTGCAACATCGAAAATTTTATCAAAACTTCAAATATTGTTTTCTCAAAAACTAAAAGTTATTTTTAAAAACGGGTTAGTTCATTGCAAAGAGGACACTTTTATTGACACTTTGGGAAATTTTTATGCTAACATTCCAAAAAATGGATTTTATACGAATTTTTAAAACTTAATCGGCGAAAATTGCAAAATTCGAAAAAATTGTGGATCATTTCAAAAATTTTTTTCTCAAGAACTAAACGTGATTTTTCAAAACGGCTTTTTGCATTAAAAGGAGGATACTGAAGAATGTGTACTATTATTAACTTATTAAATAAAACATTAAATTAATAACTTTTCAAAAATATTTATGTTGTTAGGCAACCCATTATGGTATAGTAACATTTGGGTTGCATACATTTAAATTTGTAATTTAATTAAAATTAAAATTTATAACTTCAAAATTTATTAATTCTTAGATTAAAATTAAAATTGAATTAAAAAAATGGATTAATTAATTTATGAACTTACTTGATTTTGGCAGTCTTTTAAATCCCTGTAAATAAGTTCAACTTCTAGTTCTTTAGCAACCAAAACAACCGCCCTGGAACCACAATTGGTCGGATCGTGATATAAAATTAACGCCATTTCAACCTCTTGATAACAATTAAAAAAAAAAAAGAAAAAACCTTCGTCCTTCCAATATTCCGTCCGAATTATTTCTCTTCCTATCCTTCTTTTCCAATTATCCAATTAACCAATTCACGGTCTTTACCCATTAGTCACCAAACACTAATGCAGCGACACATAATAAAATAACGTTTTAAATATTTATTACGATGAGTTAATTCGAATTCTTTTAGATACATTTCATTCTGATTGATGTAAAACGATTAAATTTATTGAAGTGTTCACACTTTTTAATTATTTTAATTTGCTTTTTATGATTAATAGATTTTTTTTTGAGTAAACGTTTTGACCTGGAGATTGAGTGCGAATAGTACGAATGAAAACGTTGACCTGTAGATTCGATCAGATGTGCTGCAGGAGCAAAGCCGGGATCCTGCAGAGTTGATTTTTACATTACGACGCAGACGTAATAGCGTCGCCGTCGTGACGCTCAAAAATATGATGGTCTTTTTGTATTTGTATGGTTTTAATGGGATTAAACTTAATTAATGAGTTGGGAGGCTAAAAAAAAAATAAAAATAAAGTTAATTAATACATATATAAAAATTTTATGTTAGGGGTCAAAGTTTTCATTTTGCACTTGATGCTAATCTTGTTGGTTGTTATTTTTAAACTTAAAAAAAACGAACAAAACTCGCTAAATAGCTACGCATCGTTGAAATATCTACCCGGTCACACTTTAGTCTGGACATTTTCATAGTTTATATATAGAAAGGCACTTAACTTGAAATATCTTTGCCAAGAATATTCAAAGATAAAAAAAAATAATTTTTTGAAAATTACCTTATTTTTGCTTCCAATTACAAGAAAAATCCTCGTCTTGACACCGCGCCGCTTAAGATTAATGGACTATGACCGTTTTACAATGAATGCTGTTGCTGTAAAGGAAGGTAAAGGTGAAATGGAACCCAATAACACTTTTGGCGATACTTTCTATACGAATTAGGAAGTAAAAAACAATTATTTTACCGTTACATTCTTTTATAAACTATATTATTAAAAAAAAGGTTTATATTTTTTGTTGTTATTTTTTTTTAAAGTGGTAAACACCAATGAGTCATACTAAGACAAGAATAACGAGAATCTTTTACTTGAACCACCCACAATGGTTCGAAAACTGGGTACACCTACGTTGGGAAGATTTTTAAATAAAGTATTGAGTGGTAAAAAGTTTATATATTATATATTTTTAGTATGTTTTATTTAGTTATATTTTTTATTTTATACATTATATAATTTAATTTTTATTAACAACTATTTAAATTTCAACAAATTTGCAACATCAAAAATTTTATCAAAATTTCTTTCTCAAAAACTAATAGTGATATTTCAAAACGGCTTTTTGCATTAAAAAGAGGATACTTTAATTAATAATTGGTGATATTTCCACAAGGATCCTTCAAGAAATTAATTTTATAGCGAATTTTGAAAATTATCGATGAAAATTGCAACATCGAAAATTTTATCAAAACTTCAAATATTGTTTTCTCAAAAACTAAAAGTTATTTTTCAAAACGGGTTGGTTCATTGCAAAGAAGACACTTTTATTGACACTTAGGGAAATTTTCATACTAACATTCCAAGAAATGGATTTTATACGAATTTTTAAAACTTAATCAACAAAAATAGCAAAATTCGAAAAAAATTTCGATTATTTCAAAAATTTATGTCTCAAGAACTAAAAGTGATTTTTCAAAACGGCTTTTAACATTAAAAAGAGGATACTTTAATTAATAATTGGTGATATATCTACAAGGATCCTTCAAGAAATTAATATTATGGCGAATTTTGAAAATTATCGATAAAAATTGCAACATCGAAAATTTTATCAAAACTTCAAATATTGATTTCTCAAAAACTAAAAGTTATTTTTCAAAACGGGTTGGTTCATTAAAAAGAGGACACTTTTATTAACACTTTGGGAAATTTTCAAACTCATATTGCAAGAAATGGATTTTATACGAATTTTTACAATTTAATCAGCGAAAATTGCAAAATTCGAAAAAATTGTCGATGATTTCAAAAATTTATTTCTCAAGAAGTAAAAGTGTTTTTTCAAAACGGCTTGTTGCATTAAAAAGATGATACTTTAATTAATAATTGGCGATATTTCCACAAGGATCCTTCAAGAAATTAATTTTCTAGCGAATTTTGAAAGTTATCGAAGAAAATTGTAACATCGAAAATTTTATCAAAACTTCAAATATTGTTTTCTCAAAAACTAAATATTATTTTTCAAAACGGGTTGGTTCATTGGAAAGAGAACACTTTTATTAATATTTAGGGAAAAAATTTGTAAAATTCGAAAAAATTGTGGATCATTTCAAAAATTTATTTCTTAAGAACTAAAAGTAATTTTTCAAACCGGCTTTTTGCATTAAAAAGAGAATACTATAATTAATAATTGGTGATATTTCCAGCAGGATCCTTGAAGAATGTATAATTTGTAATCATTGATCTGAATTAACTATTAAATAAAACATTAAATTAATAACTTTTGAAAAATATTTGTTGTTAGGCAACCCATTATGGTATAGTAACATTTGGGTTGCATACATTTAAATTTGTAATTTAATTAAAATTAAAATTTATAACTTAAAAATTTATTAATTCTTAGCTTAAAATTAAAATTGAATTAAAAAAAATGGATAAATTAATTTATGAACTTACTTGATTTTGGCAGTCTTTTAAATCCCTGTAAATAAGTTCAACTTCTAGTTCTTTAGCAACCAAAACAACCGCCCTGGAACCACAATTGGTCGGATCGTGATATAAAATTAACGCCATTTCAACCTCTTGATAACAATTAAAAAAAAAAAAGAAAAAACCTTCGTCCTTCCAATATTCCGTCCGAATTATTTCTCTTCCTATCCTTCTTTTCCAATTATCCAATTAACCAATTCACGGTCTTTACCCATTAGTCACCAAACACTAATGCAGCGACACATAATAAAATAACGTTTTAAATATTTATTACGATGAGTTAATTCGAATTCTTTTAGATACATTTCATTCTGATTGATGTAAAACGATTAAATTTATTGAAGTGTTCACACTTTTTAATTATTTTAATTTGCTTTTTATGATTAATAGATTTTTTTTTGAGTAAACGTTTTGACCTGGAGATTGAGTGCGAATAGTACGAATGAAAACGTTGACCTGTAGATTCGATCAGATGTGCTGCAGGAGCAAAGCCGGGATCCTGCAGAGTTGATTTTTACATTACGACGCAGACGTAATAGCGTCGCCGTCGTGACGCTCAAAAATATGATGGTCTTTTTGTATTTGTATGGTTTTAATGGGATTAAACTTAATTAATGAGTTGGGAGGCTAAAAAAAAAATTCCACAAGGATCCTTCAAGAAATTAATTTTATAGCGAATTTTGAAAATTATCGATGAAAAGTGCAACATCGAAAATTTTATCAAAACTTCAAATACTGTTTTTTCAAAAACTAAAAAGTATTTTTGAAAATGGGTTGGTTCATTGGAAAGAAGACACTTTTATTATCATTTTGGGAAATTTTTAAATTTATATTGCAAGAAATGGATTTTATACGAATTTTTAAAACTTTATCGGCGAAAATTGGAAAATTCGATAAAATTGTTGATCATTTCAAAAATTTATTTCTTAAGAACTGAAAGCGATTTTTCAAAACGGCTTTTTGTATTAAAAAGAGGATGCTTTAATTAATAATTGGTTATATTTCCAGAAGGATCCTTCAAGGAATGAATTTTATAGCGAATTTTGAAAATTATCGATGAAAATTGCAATATTGAAAATGTTATCAAAACTTCAAATATTGTTTTCTCAAAAACTAAAAGTTATTTTTCAAAACGGGTTAGTGCAATGGAAAGAGGACACTTTTATTAACACTTTGGGGAATTTTTAAACTCATATTCCAAGAAATGGATTTTATACAAATTTTTAAAACTTAATCGGTGAAATTTACAAAATCCGAAAAAATTGTCAATCATTTCAAAAATTTATTTCTCAGGAACTAAAAGTGATTTTTCAAAACGGCTTATTGCATTAAAAAGAGGATAGTTCAATTAATAATTAGTGATATTTCCACAAGGAACCTTCAAGAAATTAATTTTATAATCAATTTAGAAAATTATCAATGAAAATTGTAACATCGAAAATTTTATCAAAATTTCAAATATTGTTTTCTCAAAAACTGAATGTTATTTTTCAAAACGGGTTAGTTCATTGGAAAGAGGACACTTTTATTAACATTTTGGGAAATTTTCAAACTCACATTCTAAGAACTGGATTTTATACGAATTTTTAAAACTTAATCGGCGAAAATTGCAAAAATCGAAAAATTTTTCGATCATTTCAAAAATTTATTTATCAAGAACTAAAAGTGATTTTTCAAAGCGGCTTTTTGCATTAAAAAGAGGATACTTTAATTAACAATTGGTGATATTTCCACAAGGATCCTTCAAGAAATTAATTTTATAACGAATTTTGAAAATTATCGATGAAAATTGCAACATTGAAAATGTTATTAAAACTTCAAATATTGTTTTCTCAAAAACTAAAAGTTATTTTTCAAAACGGGTTAGTTCATTGGAAAGAGGACACTTTTATTAACACTTTGGGGAATTTTTAAACTCATATTCCAAGAAATGGATTTTATACAAATTTTTAAAACTTAATCGGTGAAATTTACAAAATCCGAAAAAATTGTCAATCATTTCAAAAATTTATTTCTCAAGAACTAAAAGTGATTTTTCAAAACGGCTTATTGCATTAAAAAGAGGATACTTTAATTGATAATTAGTGATATTTCCACAAGGATCCTTCAAGAAATTAATTTTATAATCAATTTAGAAAATTATCAATGAAAATTGTAACATCGAAAATTTTATCAACATTTCAAATATTGTTTTCTCAAAAACTGAAAGTTATTTTTCAAAACGGGTTGGTTCATTGGAAAGAGGACACTTTTATTAACACTTTGGGAAATTTTCAAACTTACATTCTAAGAACTGGATTTTATATGAATTTTTAAATCTTAATCGGCGAAAATTGCCAAATTCGAAAAAATTGTCGATCATTTCAAAAATTTTTTTCTCAAAAACTAAAAGCGATTTATCAAAACGGCTTTTTGCATTAAAAAGAGGATACTTTAATTAATAATTGATGATATTTCCACAAGGATACTTCAAGAAATTTATTTTATAGCGAATTTTGAAAATTATCGATAAAAATTACAACACCGAAAATTTTTTCAAAACTTCAAATATTGTTTTCTCAAAAACTAAAAGTTATTTTTCAAAATGGGTTGGTTCATTGGAAAGAGGACACTTTTATTAACACTGGAAAATTTTCAAACTTACATTCTAAGAACTGGATTTTATACAAATTTTTAAATCTTAATCGGCGAAAATTGCCAAATTCGAAAAAATTGTCGATCATTTCAAAAATTTTATTTCTCAAGAACTAAAAGTGATTTTTCAAAACAGCTTTTTGCATTAAAAAGAGCATACTTTAACTAATAATTGGTGATATTTCCACAAGAATCCTTCAAGAAATTAATTTTATAGCGAATTTTGAAAATTATCGATAAAAATTGCAACACCGAAAATTTTATCAAAACTTCAAATACTGTTTTTTCAAAAACTAAAAGTAATTTTTCATAATGGGTTGGTTCATTGGAAAGAGGAGACTTTTATTAACACTTTGGGAAATTTTCATACTAATATTCCAAGAAATGGATTTTATATGAATTTTTAAAACTTAATCGGCGAAAATAGCAAAATTCGAAAAAATTATCGATCATTTCAAAAATTTATTTCTCAAAAACTAAAAGCGATTTTACTAAACGGCTTGTTGCATTAAAAAGAGGATACATTAATTAATAATTGGTTATATTTTTACAAGGATACTTCAAAAAATTAATTTTATAGCGAATTTTGAAAATTATCGATAAAAATTGCAACATCGAAAATTTTATCAAAACTTCAAATATTGTTTTTTCAAAACGGGTTGATTCATTGGAAAGACGACACTTTTATTAACACTTTGGGAAATTATCATACTCATATTCCAAGAACTGGATTTTATACGAATTTTTAAAACTTAAACAACTTAAACTTTTTAGGCCGGATATCCGTTCCACCACTAGTAACAATCAAAGTTTTACAACTTTTCAATATCATACATTATTACAATTTACAATCCCATACAATGCAAGGATTTCTTTGACTGCAAAACATATCTTCTCAACGAAATTGGCGTCATTTCTTATCTTTTCCATCATTACGTCACTAATTTCTAATCTACGATCGAAGTTATTTTTAGTTAATTCTTGTATTACCCGAATTTAATGATTTAAATTTGTTCTTATCGAATATACGCAAGATTTAGGAATATATTACATCATGTACTTTTTTTTGTTCCATCTTCCACTCCATCTTTTAGTATTTAAGACCTTTTTGAATACATTAAGTCTCAAGTATTACATATGGTTGAAGTCGTATTAAACGGTAGATTCTAATAATAAAATAATATACAGGGTGTCGTGGCTCATATCAGAAAAAAGGTAAATTTGCCAATGTCTTTAGAATATCCATATATCCCTTTTCTTTGTCATTCGCTTATAAATCTAATTATAATAATTGGCTGGTTATATTATTATCCACACCGTAGATACTCTTTTTTAATAAATTTTTATTTAATTTACTCAACGCAAATAAAATTTCAAGATAACGAGACGATTAGAAAAAAATTTGTTTGATTTAACCGCTTTTAACCGTAAGATATAAGATTAATAAAAAAACACTTATAAAATAATATGGATTAGGACATAATCTCAAACAAAAAAAGTAACAATTGACTAATTGTTGTTAAAAATAATTTGGGAAAAGTTTTTTTTATTGCTACTCGATGTATCAGATAAAGAGACAGATAAAATATTCTCTCCTATCAGCAAAAGCAATCGATTTTATGGCAAACATGCGGCGCGGCTAAATCCATTTATGTTAAAGCAGTCATTCGATTAAGTATATATTTTTAAATTAAAAAAATGCCTCCTAAATTATACGCGGATATTTCTAGTCCAGCTGTTAGAAGCGTTTTACTTCTATCGAAAGCGATTAATCTTGATTTAGATATACAAAGTCTTGATATTTCAACGGGGGAACATTTAACACCAGTTTTTATGAAGGTATTATTTAATATATATATAAATTTTTATATATATATAAATTTTTATATATATATATAAATTTTTATATATATATAATATTTTTTTATTTTATAGATGAATCCTCAACATACTGTACCAACTTTAGAAGATAACAACTTCATTTTATGGGATAGCCACGCAATTTGCGCATATTTAATGAATAAATATTCCGAAAACGACGATTTATACCCAAAAAATCCAGAATTACGTGCAACAATCGATCAACGTATGCATTTCGATTCGGGAATTTTATTTCCGAAATATCTCGCTGTCATCGAGCCGATTCTTAAAGAAGGCGCAAAAATGATTTCTAAAGATAAAGCGCACTCTCTTTCGGCTGCTTATGGGATTTTAGAAACTTTCTTGGAACATTCCCGATTTGTCGCTGGAAAAAAACTTTCGATCGCCGATTTTTGTATAGCCACGACGATTACAACAGCTAACGTATTGGTTCCGGTGGCGGAAAATCGTTTTCCCGGAATATCGAAATGGTTGGCGAATATTAAGGAATTGCCTTATTATGAAGAGGCGAATCAAAAGGGGTTAGATAAATTCACTGGGTTGGTTAAGTTTCGAATGGGGCATTAAATTAATAATAACAGTAAAATCTCGATATAACGGATCTCGTTAGAACGGACAAAAAAGATTTTTACAATATTTAAAACTTTCTAGTTATAGGTCTAGTGTTAATTCTAGTTTTAGTTAAAATATGATGTAGGTAAAGTAAAAACTTTTTGTGAAATACTGAAATGTTTAATTCAATTCAAGCAGACATGTTTCGAAACTAATGTTTCATCTTCAGTACTTAGAATATTATACAATATAATGGAAAAATATTTTGTTAGTAGTTTAGTGTAATTTACAAACAAAAAATTAATTTAACAAAAGCAAAAATCAAAAAATTTCAATAATATAGTTAAAATCTTGGAAGGTAACATATAGATATGTTACCTTCCTCCTTTGAATTAAACATTTTAGTATTTCTCAAAAAGTTTTTACTTTTACCTACATCATATTTTATTATATTAGAGAAATATGGAGAATTTCATCCCATTTCTAGTTTTAATTGTTCATACAGCATTAAATTGTTGTATATTTTTGATTGAACTAGAACTAACACTAGACCTAGAACTAGAAACATTCGAGTTTAGCCGCACGTCTTTTAAGACGGCTAAACCCGAATGTTTCTAGTTCTAGGTCTAGAGTTAGTTCTAATGCTAGTATTAGTTCTAGTTTTAGTTGTTATTCACCATTAGAATGTTGTATATTTTTCATTCAACTAAAACTAGAACTAACATTAGACCTAGTACTAGAAAGTTTCGGGTTTAGCCGTGCGTCCTCAGACGCACGGCTAAACTCAAATGTTTCTAGTTCTAGGTCTAGTGTTAGTTCTAGTTTTATTTATTATTCAGCGCTAGATTATTGTATATTTTTATTGAACTAAAAGTAAAAATAACACTAGAACTAGAAATAGCCGTCTCAAAGACGGCTAAACACGAATGTTTCCAATTCTAGATGTAGTGTTAGTTCTAGTGATAGTGCTAGTGCAATACTAGAACTAACACTAGATCGAGAACTAGAAACATTCGGATTTAGCCGCACGTCTCTCAAGACGGCTAAAGCCGAATGATTCTAGTTCTAGGTCTTGTGTTAGTTCTAATGATAGTGCTAGTGTAAAACTAGAACTAACACTAGATCTAGATAATATAAATATAAATATAATATAAAATATATAAATATAAATAAATAAACAGTGTCCTCCAAAAAATTCATCATCACCTGTTTTATTTCTGTTCCATTACATCAACGTTTCTGAAATTTAGCTTATAAAGTATGCTCATACCGATCTTTCGATCTAAGGTATTTTCAAGATGGTGGCCACTTCCGGTCCCCCGGAAGTAGACCTCAACTTCGTTTTTTTAATTGGAATGCTATGGTTTTTATTGCACCTTTTAATTGTATGCGAAAAAATATATTGACTTTGATAAATGTTGCTGGCACCTAGCACTTTTCGTTTTCGAGTTATTTTCATTTTAAGTTTTTGTATTCTGGATATTCTGGATACCGTGGATTGTGTATCCGGGTAAATATTATTGAACAGCGTACAAACTTCACTTTGAGTGCATTCTCTTATACAACCATATGATTTAATATGTTCATCGCGTAGAGGGATTTATCTTCTATCAAAATATGCAAAAAAACCATATGCATCCTATTTAAAATAACTATATTAGTTGCCATAGCAACGAAACAAAAAACAATGTAAACAAGCAAATATCGCCAAAAAATCCGCCACAATTAATAAAGAAACTTTTATTTGAAACATTTTTCTTTAAAACCACAAATGGCGAAGTTATTGGCTATATTCCAGACATTTGACAAACCCCGTATATGTATATACAGTGTGTCCGTAAAGTAACGGATATAGGCGATAAAATCATAATAAACGGTTTATGAAAAAATCCCTGAAACGGGTCTAAAGATTTAAATTTTTTCCGCCATTTTTAAGCGAGTTATGACATCATCGATATTTTTTTCAAATGACAGTCCCCCATTTTTATTACGGAATATGAAAGAGTTAGATATTAGTTACATAAGAAAATTTTCGAGAAAAATTACTTTACAGTTTAATTACTTCACATTTGTGTAATGATAAAAATAGCAGTAGCCATGAGTAACTATGGTAACCAATTATTTTAAATAATTTCAGACTTTGAGAAATGCATCGAGAGATGGCCATGCTGTTTAAATTTAGTCACAGCTAGGCTCACCATACTTTGGCTAATGAGTTGGCGATCAGGATATGTTGTATTAAAGAGGTCAACTACTCACTAAATCAGTTTTTGACACTTAGGAAATTGTTTAAAATAATTGGTTACCATAGTTACTCATGGCTACTACTATTTTCATCATGTCAACAAATCTGAAGAAGTTAAACTTTAAAGCAATTGTTCTCGAACATTTTTTTATGTAAGCAATATTAATATTGACTGTACTAGATTGAGAAAAAAATCTTCTTTCATATTCCGTAATAAAAATGGGGGATTGCCATTTGAAAAAAATACCGATGACGTCATAACTCGCTTAAAAATGGCGGAAAAAATTTAAATCTTTAGACCCGTTTCAGGAATTTTTCCATAAATCGTTTATAATGATTTTATCGCCTATATCCGTTACTTTACGGACACACTGTATACACAGGGTGTCACACAAAACACGCCCCAAGCTGTAACTCTGTCATTTACATTCTGATTTTCATGAGCAAGGTATTAAATGAAATGGTTTGATGAAAACTATGATTCATGCTACAAATAAATTTCTTCCAAGACCATCTTCAATTTTAAACGATTATTAACTTTTGTTTTTCAAATCGCTCTATATATCTTTCTGTCACACAAGCACGCCGCAAGCTGTAACTCTGTCATTTACCTTCTGATTTTCATGAACGAGGTATTAAATGAAATGGTTTAATGAATGCTATGATTCATGATACAAATAAACTTTTTCCAACGCTATCTTCAATTTCAAGCGATTATCGTCTTTTGATTTTAAAATTACTCATTATGTTTTTCTTTACGGTATTGGATAGAGATTCTTTTTCTGAATCCATTAATGTACAATACATTAACATTAATTATAATTTTAGCAAGAAACACAATTAAAATATTTTCCGAACATTGTCTTAGTCACTTTTGTAATATTGTAGTGTGCCATGGAAAAAAATAATGCCCAAAACTGATAACAGTCATTAAATGTTATTTCAATGCCCGAAGTAGTTGTAAATGATACTTATAAGTTGCTTTTTATTTTTTTCCCATGGCTTAAGAGAATGTTAGGAAACTATTTTAATGTTTTTCTATGCTACAATGACAATTAATGTTGATGTATTGTACATTAATGGATTCAGAAAAAGAAGTGAAGGAAAACATACCGAGCTACTTGAAAATCAAAACTTGATAATCGCTTGAAATTGAAGATGGCGTTGGAAAAAGTTTATTTGTAGCGTGAATCATAGTATTTATAAAACCATTTCATTTCATACCTGGGTTATGAAAATCGGAATGTAAATAACAGAGTTACAGGTTGGGGCGTTTTTTGTGTGACACCCTGTATACAAGTGTTTCACGTAACTGGTTCGTTAGAACTTTTTTAGGTTCCAGTATTCGTACAGTTTTGAAATTTTGGTAGTATGGATTGTTCAGTCGGAACTTTCGATCTAAAATATTTTCAAGATGGCTGCCACTTCCGGTCTACCGGAAGTAGACCATAACTTCGTTATTTTAAATAGAATGCTATAGTTTTTATTGCACCTTTTAATTGTACGTAAAAAAATATGTTGACTTTCATAAAAGTTATTGGTACCTAGCGTTTTTCGTTTTCGAGTTATTTTGATTTTAAGATTTTTTGGCAAATTTCACCATGCTCTTTAAAACCCTATATCCCAGCCAACGTTCTTTCAAAAAAGCTCTAAATTGGCACGATTACTCTTCAGATGCTGTCAAATAGATTGTCATATATTGTATCAGAATATCTTATACAGGATGGTCAAAAATTGAGTTACCGTTTCTCCATATTCAATGGGGAGAAAGTCGAAAATTTTAAATGGAACACCCCATTTTTTATTAGCCTACACGAAAGGGAATTTAATTCTCTACAATTTATCTATAAATATTCCTATACCTATTTATTGTAGTTTCTCTCATATTCGTAAATTTATCAGAACATGCAGGAAATGCAGGAAACCGTTTGTATTTTTATTAGAAGGCCATGACATTTTGACAGTCTTTTATTTAATTTATTTCTATTATTATTTGTACTATTAACTACGATTGATAATCTTTTAGTTTACTAGCTTTTACTTACCAAAAATAGCAAACAGAAGATCAAATAAATTAAACTATTAAAACAAAAAGTTAATGATAAAAATTAGATTTCAATAAAAATATAAATTTATAATATAAATTTGTTATAAAATTGAATTTGGAAATGCAATAAAACACTGTAAAATATTTATTTCGTTGTCTTTATCACTGGTGACCGGAAATATGCGATTTCTTTTGGTCTCGATATATCCAGAACTAAGAAGATTTAGTTAGATTTAGATTAGTTAGGTTTGTTAGGCATCTCTCATTAAGTGTTCGACACGTCCTGTCCAAAAGTTTATTACATTCGCCATCAATACAAAATAAATTTCAAATATCGGCGTTGGAATAATCTGCCATGATGTTCAATGACTTACACCCGTCGTCAAATGTAACTAATGACAACAATAATACAAACATGGACCAAAAACTGTCAAAAATCCATAGCTTTCTAATAAAAAACCTGGATTTCGTGCATGTTTTAATAAATTTCGCAATATGGGGCGTTCCATTTAAAATTTTCGACTTTCTCGCCATTGAATATGGAGAAACAGTAATTCAATTTTTGACCACCTGTATAAAATACTCCGATACAACAAATGACAATCTATTTGACAACATCTGAAGAGTAATCGTGCCAACGTAGATCTTTTTTGAATGAACGTTGGCTGAGATATGAAGTTTTAAAGAGCATGTTGAAATTTACCAAAAAAAGTCGAAAAAACCAAAATAACTCGAAAACGAAAAACGCTAGGTACCAATAACTTTTATCAAAGTCAACCTATTTTTTTACGTACAATTAAACGGTGTAATAAAAACTATAGCATTCCATTTAAAATAGCGAAGTTATGGTCTACTTGCAGTAGACCAAAAGTGGCGGCCATCTTGAAAATATTTTAGATCGAAAGTTCCGAAGGAACAACCCATGCTATCAAAATTTCAAATCTCTACGAATAGTGGAACCTGAAAAAGTTCTAACAAACCAGTTACGTGAGACACCCTGTATATATATATACATATAAATGTATAGATTCGTAATGTTTAGCCGTCTTTAGAGACGTGCGGCTAAACCCAAATGATTCTAGTTCTAGGTATAGTGTTAGTTCTAATTCTACACATGTACTGTCACTAAAACTAACATTAAACCTAGAACTAGAAACATTTGGGATTTAGCCATACGTCTCTAAAGCCCGAATGATTCTAGTTCTTGATCTAGAATTAGTACTAGAAAGTTTCGGGTTTAGCAGTGCGTCTTCAGGCGCACGATTTTAATCATTATTCAGCGTTAGATTATTGTATGTTATTATTGAACTAAAAGTAGAAGATTCATTCAAACAATTTTAAAGTACAAATTAAAATTTTTTTCATTTTCTTCTTCATATTAATCGGTTATACCGTGATTTTACTGTAATAAAGGATTATTTGACTCGAAATAAAAGGATTGATTTATTAGCGGATCGAAATTAATTAATAAATAAATTTACTTGTAATCTTCCTTTTGGTGTCTTATCGCGCCGAGTAAACATGGTCCATTAGGTTAATGAAACAAGAGTAGACACGATACATGTTTTTTTTTTATAGATATCGATCGAATTGGCTTTGTCGCTACCCGAAACCGTAACAAAAAATAATAAAACATTTAGGCGCCTACTTGATGTTGCTACTTATTACGTTTTACCGTTGTATCTTTTTGAGTGGTCTTTTGTAAACTTAAAGTTAATAAATAAATAATAAGTATACACTTAAAAATAAAATTTTTTGTTTTAACTTTCTTTTGATGCTCACTATACACATTTATCCGGGTCACGCCATTTCAAACGAGTTTATTAATCGGAGAGATCGCCTTATGTACACTCAGTTCGTTAAGAAACTTCGATTAGTATCGTATTGTATAAAAAATGGCTCCTATTTTGTATACTGTAGATCCGAGTCCACCGTGTAGGGCTGTTTACATGACCGCGAAAGCAATTGGGATCGAATTAGAACATAAAATTATCGATATTCTTAAAAACGAACAATTAGATCCATCGTTTATTAAGGTATGTAGGAGAAATTACGATGTTTTATGATTACAAATTTTTTTTAGATAAATCCAAGGCACACAGTTCCAACTTTAATCGATGATAACTTGGTGTTAACCGATAGTCACGCTATTACAACGTATTTAACGTCGAAATACGCTAAAGATGATGGGTTATACCCGAAAGATTTGGCTAAAAGGGCTTTGATTGATCAAATGTTGCATTTTGATAGCAGCGTGACTTTTCCAGCTCTATTAAATATTGGTGTGAGTAATGAGTTTATTTTCGTTCCTAACCTTGAGTATTATTTAATGTAGATGTAATCTTGTGACCTTCAATTTTAAATTATAAACAAAATAAAATATATCGAAATAAATTTCTAGAAAAGTTCACTTTTCTATGTTATTAAGAAAATGAAATGATTCTCCAAGAAACTCGCAATACTAAAGGCTAAAACGTGCTAGTTAACTTAAGTTGAAATGCCATGAACAAAAAAAAAGTAAATAAATGACGGAAAATCATCGTGCAAGTAAGCAAAGATGCTACAAATAGCCTCTTAAAAATAGGTGTTAAAACTAGTTAGTGCTGATGGAAGTCAAAACATAGTAGATTAAATACTGCTTGCAAAAATTTAATAGTGCTGGTAGCAGATTGGATACTGCTGGTAAAAAACTAGATACTGCTAATATAAGACTAAGTAGATAGTGGAACAGAAGAATATTTAATGCTAGTAGAAGACTATTCAGTACTAGTAGAAATATAGATATCGCTTGCGAAAGACTACATACTCCTGGTAGAAGACTACTTACTGATTGCTAAAGTCTACTTGCAAAAGACTATAAGTATACCGTTGGCAGAAAACTATGTATTGTCAATAGACAGAAGACTACTTAATGCTGGTAGCAGATTACTCAGTGTTGGCAAAAATCTAGATAACGCCTATAAAAGACTACTTACTGTTTGCTGAAGTCTACTTATTACTTGTAAACAACTATATACTGTTGGTAGAGAACTAGATATTGTTAATTGAAGACTAAACAGTGAAACAGAAGACTATTTAATGCTAGTAGAAGACTACTCAGTACTGGCAGAAATTTAGAGTAACACTACATACTGGTTGCTGAAGTCTGCATACTACTTATAAAGGACTATACCTATAATGTTGGTAAAGAATTAGATATTGCTAATGGGACAGAAGACTACTCAATGCAAAAATCTAGGTAACTCTTACAGAACACTATACACTGCTGGCAGAAGACGACTTACTGGATGCTGAAGTCTACTTATTACTTGCAAAAGACTATATACTGTTGGCAGATAACTCGATATTGTTAATGGAAGACTAGACAGTTAAACAGAAGACTACCTACTACTAGCTGATAGAACACTACTCAGTGTCGGCAGAAATCTAGATAATGCTTGCTGAAGACTACTTATTACTTGCAAAAAACTATACAGGAGGGTGTTTCTGTAAGTCGTGGCATAATTTTAATCACAAATAAGTACTAGAGTCAAAATGATGACGATTCGTGTAAAAATTTTTGATCTAAACCCATAAATGGCTAAGATATAGGCCATCAAGGTTTTTTTTGAAACATTTTCTTAAATGTTTTCAATATGATTTGTCTTTGAAAGATAAAATTTAGCAAACAGTGCAATGTTGTCATGAGAAATCGTTTAATCACTTTTGAAAATATGCAAATACGGGATTAATGCTATACAGGTGTTTCCTTAAAACTTTTTTATTATGTAGTAAATCATTAAACTTTCCAACTGATTCTAAAAGCCTATTTCATTTTGAAACTATTTTTATTCTTACAAATTTTTGATTTAGACACATCGTTTTCGAGTTATTCACAAAAAGATTTAGGTTCGTTTAAAAGAATATCTAAAAGATATCTGGATTTTCTTCGGTATAACTATTCTTTAGTATTTCTCAAATTAATGGTTATCTACAAAAAGTACTTTTTTACACACAGATAATAACTAGATATGGCAGAAAATTTGATATTGTTAATAGACAGAACACTACTTAATGCTTGTTGGTAGAGAACTAGATATTGTTAATGGAAGACTAAACAGTGGAACAGAAGACTATTTAATGCTAGTAGAAGACTGCATACTGTGCTGGCAGAGATCTAGAGATACCTTGGGTAAGACTGCATACTGGTTGCTGAAGTCTGCTTATTACTTACAGAAGACTATATAATGTTGGCAGAGAACTAGATATTGCTAATGGGACAGAAGACTACTCGCTGACAAAAATCATATACCGCAGAAGACTACTTACCGCTTGCTGAAGTCTACTTATTACTTGCAAAAGACTATATACTAGTGAAAGACTGTAATTATTGAAATTTAATCGGCGGAAATTGCGAAATTCCGAAAAATTTTGAAGAACTCAAGAACTAAAAGTGATTTTTCAAAACGGCTTTTTGCATTAAAAAGAGGATACTTTAATTAATAATTGGTTATATTTCCACAAGGATCCTTCAAGAAATGAATTTTATGGCCAATTTTGAAAATTATCGATGAAAATTGCAATATCGAAAATTTTATCAAAACTTCAAATATTGTTTTCTCAAAAACTAAAAATTATTTTTCAAAATGGGTTGGTTCATTGGAAAGAGGATACTTTTATTAACGCTTTGGGAAATGTTTATACTCATATTCCATGAGATGGATTTTATACGAATTTTTAAAACTTAATTGGTAGAAATTGCAAAATTCGGAAAAATTGTCGATTATTTCAAAAATTTATTTCTCAAGAACTGAAAATGATTTCTCAAAACGGCTTTCTGTATTAAAAAGAGGATACTTTAATTAATAAGTGGTGATATCTCCACAAGGATTCTTCAAGAAATTAATTTTATAGCCAATTTTGAAAGTTATCGATAAAAATTGCAACATCGAAAATTTTATCAAAACTTCAAATATTGTTTTCTCAAAAATTAAAGGTTATTTTTCAAAATGGGTTTGTTCATTGGAAAGAGGACACTTTTATTAACACTTTGAGAAATTTTTATACTCATATTCCAAGAGATGGATTTTATACGAATTTTTAAAACTTAATCGGTAAAAATTGCAATATTCAAAAAAATTGTCGATTATTTCAAAAATTTATTTCTCAAGAACTAAAAGTGATTTTTCAAAACGGCTTTTTGCATTAAAAAGAGAGTACTTTAATTAATAATTGGTGATATTTCTAGAAGGATCCTTCAAGAAATTAATTTTATAGCCAATTTTGAAAATTATCGATGAAAATTGCAACATCGAAAATTTCATCAAAACTTCAAATATTGTTTTCTCAAAAACTAAAAGTTATTTTTCAAAACGGGTTGGTTTATTGGATGAAGGTCACTTTTATTAACACTTTGGGAAATTTTCATACTCATATTGCAAGAAATGGATTTTATACGAATTTTTAAAACTTAATCGGTAAAAATTGCAAAATTCGATAAAATTGTCGATTATTTCAAAAATTTATTTCTCAAGAACTAAAATTGATTTTTCAAAATGGCTCATTGCATTAAAAAGGGGATACTTTAATTAATAATTGGTGATATTTCCACAAGGATCCTTCAAGAAATCAATTTTATAGCCAATTTTGAAAGTTATTGTTGAAAATTGCAACATCGAAAATTTGATGAAAACTTCAAATATTGTTTTCTCAAAAACTAAAAGTTATTTTTCAAAATGGCTTGGTTCATTGGAAAGAGGATACTTTTATTAACGCTTTGGGAAATTTTTATACTCCTATTCCAAGAGATGGATTTTATACGAATTTTTAAAACTTAATTTGCGAAAATTGCAAAATTCGAAAAAATTGTCGATTATTTCAAAAATGTATTTCTTAAAAACTAAAAGCGATTTTTCAAAACGGCTTGTTGCATTAAAAAGAGGATACTTTAATTAATAATTGGTAATATTTCCACAAGGATCCTTAAAGAAATGAATTTTATAGCCAATTTTCAAAATTATCGATGAAAATTGCAACATCGAAAATTTTATCAAAACTTCAAATATTGTTTTCTATATTAATTATTTTAATCTCTTTTTTAGATCCCCCTACGTTTAAAATTAACCAACGATATTTCTCAAGATAAAGTAATCAAAGTCCAAGAAGGATACTCATTTTTAGAGAAATACCTTGACGGTAAAAAATGGGTTGCTTTAGATTATCCAACATTAGCCGATATCCATTTAGTATCAACGATTACAAGTTGTTCGTTCTTCGTTCCAATCGGTGATCATCCAAACATTTTAGCTTGGATTCAACGGGCTCAAAAAGAAGACTTTTATAGCGAAAACGTTAAAGGATTAAAAGATTTTAACGATTTATTTCAAGGATTTCTTAACTGTTAAAATTGTCAATTAAAACAAGGACTCCAATTAAACGATAAAAATATCTTATCAAACTTGTTTTTATTTTATTAATTAAGATTATTTAAGATCAAAGTTTATATAAGACAAAAAATAACTTTTTAAAATCTCATTTTGATTTTATTGGTCGCCCTAAAATGTCTCTCGTGCTTTATACTTTAGATGTTAGCCCACCGTGTAGAGCGGTTTATATGGTTGCTAAAGAAATTGGGGTTGATTTAAAACACAAAATTATTAATGTTGTTAATAAAGAACAATATAATGAGGAATATATTAAGGTAAGAGTAAAAATTAAGTTATAAATTAATCAATTTTGTTATTTTTAGATTAACCCAAAGCATACAATCCCAACTTTAATTGATGGGGATTTAATTTTAAACGATAGCCATGCTATTACTTCATATTTAGTAGCTAAATACTCCAAAAACGATTTTTTATACCCAAAAGATGTTGCTAAAAAAGCTCTAATCGATCAAATGTTACATTTCGATAGTGGTGTTATGTTTGCGGCTTTAGCCCAGATTACAGTAAGATTTTTAAAGCATCAAAGTTAATTTATTACTTAATATTTTTTTAGAAATCGTTGATTTTTGAGCCTAAGAAAGGAATTTCACCCGAACACATTACTTTCGCTGAAACGGCTTATGATTTTTTAGAAAAATATTTAGAAGGAAAAGATTGGGTTGCAACAAATCAACATACAATAGCCGATTTGCACTTAATCGCCACAGTTATGTCGTTAAATTTGGTAGTTTCTTATAAAGGACGTGAAAATATTAAGAATTGGGTTGAGAGATGTAAAAATCTTGCTTGTTACAGCGAAAACGTCAAAGGGTATCAAGATAATGTCGATTTATTTTCAGCTATTACGAAGCAATGATGTGTTAATTAAATAAATTTTTATGATAATCTAAATAAACATTAAAATAAAATTTTATAACACTAATTAAAGCAAGAAAATGTTTCCTAATCTATTTTAATTTCGTAATCTTTCCATATCATTCCATTCCATTTCAAAACGGCTTTTTGCATTAAAGAGAGGATACTTTAATTAATAATTGGTGATATTTCCACAAGTATCCTTCAAGAAATCAATTTTATAGCAAATTTTGAAAGTTATTGATAAAAATTGCAACATCAAAAATTTTATCAAAAACTAAAAGTTATTTTTCAAAATGGGTTGGTTCATTGGAAAGAGGATACTTTTATTAACGCTTTGGGAAATTTTTATACTCATATTACAAGAGATGGATTTTATACGAATTTTTAAAACTTAATCGGTAAAAATTGCAAAAATTCGAAAAAATTATCGATTATTTCAAAAATTTATTTCTCAAGAACTGAAAGTGATTTCTCAAAACGGCTTACTGCATTAAAAAGAGGATATTTTAATTAATAAGTGGTGATATCTCCACAAGGATCCTTCAAAAAATTAATTTTATAGCCAATTTTGAAAATTATTGATGAAAATTGCAACATCGAAAATTTTATCAAAATTTCAAATATTGTTTTCTCAAAAACTAAAAGTTATTTTTCAAAATGGGTTGGTTCATTGGAAAGAGGATACTTTTATTAACGCTTTGGGAAATTTTTATACTCATATTCCAAGAGATGGATTTTATACGAATTTTTAAAACTTAATCGGTAAAAATTGCAAAATTCGAAATAATTGTCGATTATTTCAAAAATTTTTTTCTCAAGAACTGAAAGTGATTTCTCAAAAGGGCTTGCTGCATTAAAAAGAGGATACTTTAATTAATAAGTGGTGATATTTCCACAAGGATTCTTCAAAAAATTAATTTTATAGCCAATTTTGAAAGTTATCGATGAAAATTGCAACATCGAAAATTTTATGAAAACTTCAAATATTGTTTTCTCAAAAACTAAATGTTATTTTTCAAAACGGGTTGGTTCATTGGAAAGAGGACACTTTTATTAACACTTTGGGAAATTTTCATACTCATATTCCAAGAAATGGATTTTATACGAATTTTTAAAACTTAATCGGCGAAAATTGTAAAATTCGAAAAAATTGTCGATTATTTCAAAAATTGGATTGCCATTTTTCGGGACTGGAGTCACGAGAGACGTCCTCCACTCCTGTGGAAAGCAACTATTTTCAATGCAAAAATTGTAGATATGCGTAATGTGAAACAAAATCAATGGACAAAACAATTGCACAACCGACAACCCCAAACCGTCCGCTCCCACCGCTGTCGATGATTGCTGCAGAACAAGATTAGCTACCTCTGTTTCAGTAGTAGCGATGAACTTAAAAGATTTAGTACTAAACTTGTTAGAAGAATAATAACGTCTGGTATAAGGGTCGGGGGGGTCCGCATTATTATTATTGGCAACAAAGAAATTATTTAGATCATTTGCAGTTCCCAAGTGCGACAAATCCATGTGACAATGAGTTTTATTTAAGATATTTAAATCTCTCAGATGTTTCCAAACGTTGCCCGGATCAGCACCGCTACGATACCGCAGATATGCCTTCTTTTCATGACGAACACTAGAGTTAACCAAATTGCGGAGCTGCCTAAAATACATAAAATCATTATGATTCCTAGAATGCTTAAACTTTCGGTAAGCTTTATCTCTTAGGTTCATCATAAATTTCAAATTCTCGGTTATCCACGGTGCGGGAGGCCTCGTGATACGTACAGTTTTTACAGGAGCATGAAAGTCGATCAAACTTAACAAACCCGCATTTAAGAATGAAATTTTGTCGTCAATGTCATGCAACTCATAAATTAAATCCCAACCATAATTGCTAACATCAGCCTCAAATAAATCCAAGTTTATATTTTTAAGATTTCTAAATTGTTTGTACTGATGGGGATTAGAATTTATCTTTCTCAGTCCGATGCTGCAGAAGACCAGAGCATGGTCCGATATAGCTAGAGTTTCATCAACAAGGGCATCCCGCACCGTTAATTCATTAGAAACAATAATAAAATCTATAAGCGTTGAGGTAGTGTGCGTCACCCTTGTAGGCTCCTGAGCTACTTGAGTCATATCCAAGGAGTCCAATAAGAGGTTGAACAAATTGATATTAAAATCGCCCAAACATACCACATGTGAACAGAGTTGTTTTGCCAGCATCAATGTCTCCTCCAAGTTCTCAAAAAATAAATCACCGACATAATTCTGGGGTCTGTACACTACACCCACAGCCAAGACAGCGCCTCTCGAACGTAACTTAACCCAAACATGCTCGTAAGTACCGTTGTCTACTAAATTTAAATGGCGCGCGTAAGATCTTCCTTAATCACAACCCTTGTTCCCTTCAGTTTGCTCTTTAGCGAATAAATTTTTGAACGTACACGATAAGAAGAAAACTTGATAATAATAGCCCGACTGTATTTCTCCTTAATTTTACCAATTCGGTGAGATCGTTGAATAGCTGATATATCCAATTCTTCTCCAAGATATCTTTTAAAAATATTTAAAACGACCAGATCGGTATTTTCTTCCGGGGTCTCCTTTACACCAAATAAACGTAAATTATTTCGTCTCCCATATTGTTCGAGACGATTAATTTTATCAGAACCGGATTTATCGATCTCGTCACAGCGTAATCCGTTATAAAAACCGCTACACAAAAATTTAATTCAGTCCCATAAGAATCTTTAACAAGGCATAATGGCCCCAATTCTTTACACAACCGATTTATGCCCACCGTGTAGGGCTTAAATTAATAGGGCGTAATTATCGATGAAAATTGCAACATCGAAAATTTTATCAAAACTTCAAATATTATTTTCTCAAAAACTAAAAGTTATTTTTCAAAACGGGTTGGTTCATTGGAAAGAGGACACTTTTATTAACACTTTGGGAAATTTTCATACTCATATTCCAAGAAATGGATTTTATACGAATTTTTAAAACTTAATCGGCGAAAATTGTAAATTTTATGATAATCTAAATAAACATTAAAATAAAATTTTATAACACTAATTAAAGCAAGTAAATGTTGCCTAATCTATTTTAATTTCGTAATCTTTCCATATCATTGGTATTCAAGGTCAAAACAAAAATAATCCGTTATAAAACCGCTACACAAAAATTTAGTTCAGTCCCATAAGAATCTTTAACAAGGCATAATGGCCCCAATTCTTTACACAACCGATTTAAGCCCACCGTGTAGGGCAGTTTATATGACTGCAAAAGCTTTGAATATTGATGTAGAGCATAAAATTATCGATTTTTTAAATGATGCTCATTTAAAAGATGATTTTCTCAAGGTAAAATATTAAATATTTAACATTTATATTAAACATATTTTTTTAGATTAATCCAAAACACACCATCCCAACTTTAACCGATGGAAAATTAATCTTAACAGATAGCCACGCAATCACTTCTTATTTAGTTACAAAATACTCCAACGGAAATTCTCTTTATCCAAATACACCCGAAGATAAAGCTTTAATCGATAATATGTTACATTTCGATAGCAACGTGGCTTTCCCCGCGCTTCTTAACACTTGCGTATGATAAAAACAATTTTATATAAACTCATTCGTTTATTAATTAATACATTTTAGGCAACACTTCGTTTAAAATTAGCATCGGAAGTTACCCCTGATATGATTAAGAAGATTGAAAATGCTTATTCTTTCCTTGATAAGTTTTTGGAGAGAAAAACTTGGGTTGCTACCGAGAAAATGACGATTGCTGACTTTCATTTAATCACAACTGTAGCTGCTACTAATTTATTTGTGCCCGTATCAAGTTGTTACCCGAATTTATTAACTTGGATGAAGAAATTTGAAGATGTTGATGCGTTTAAGGAGACTCAATTTTCGTTGGATGATTTTAAAGATTTGTTTAAACATGTTTTAAAAGAATAAATCTTAAATTTTCTTAATTAAAGAGATTCTCTTAATTAAAAGATTGATTTTTTTTTTGGTTTTAATAATTCGTATAAAATCGATTTCTTGGAATATGAGTATGAAAATTTACCAAAGTGTTAATAAAAGTGTCCTCTTTCCAATGAACCAACCCGTTTTGAAAAATAACTTTTAGTTTTTGAGAAAACAATATTTCAAGTTTTGATCAAATTTTCGATGTTGCAATTTAAATCGATAATTTTCAAAATTCGCTATAAAATTAATTTCTTGAAGGATCCTTGTGGAAATATCACCAATTATTAATTAAAGTATCCTCTTTTGAATGCAAAAAGCCGTTTTGAAAAATGACTTTTAGTTCTTGAGAAATAAATTTTTGAAATAATCGGCAATTTTTTCGAATTTTGCAATTTTCGCCGATTAAGTTTTAAAAATTCGTATAAAATCCATTTCTTGGAATATGAGTATGAAAATTTCCCAAAGTGTTAATAAAAGTGTCCTCTTTCCAATGAACCAACCCGTTTTGAAAAATAACTTTTAGTTTTTGAGAAAACAATATTTGAAGTTTTGATAAAATTTTCGATGTTGCAATTTTCATCGATAATTTTCAAAATTCGCTATAAAATTAATTTCTTGAAGGATCCTTGTGGAAATATCACCAATTATTAATTAAAGTATCCTCTTTTTAATGCAAAAAGCCGTTTTGAAAAATCACTTTTAGTTCTTGAGAAATAAATTTTTGAAATAATCGACAATTTTTTCGAATTTTGCAATTTTCGCCGATTAATTTTTAAAAATTAGTGTAAAATCCACTTCTTAGAATATGAGTGTGAAAATTTCCCAAAATGTTAATAAAAATATCCTCTTTCCAATGAACCAACCCGTTTTGAAAAATAACTTTTAGTTTTTGAAAAAACAATATATGAAGTTTTGAAAAAATTTTCGATGTTGCAGTTTTCAGCGATAATTTTCAAAATTCGCTATAAAATTAATTTCTTGAAGGATCTTTGTGGAAATATCACCAATTATTAATTATAGTATCCTCTTTTTAATGAAAAAAGCCGCTTTGAAAAATCACTTTTAGTTCTTGAGAAATATATTTTTGAAATAATCGACAATTTCTTAGAATTTTGCAATTTTCGCCGATTAAGTTTTAAAAATTCGTATTAAACCCATTTCTTGGAATATGAGTATGAAAATTTCCCGACGTGTTAATAAAAGTGTCCTCTTTCCAATGAACCAACCCGTTTTGAAAAATAACTTAGTTTTTGAGAAAACAATATTTGAAATTTTGATAAAATTTTCGATGTTGCAATTTTCATCGATAACTTTCAAAATTCGCTATAAAATTCATTTCTTGAAGGATCCTTGTGGAAATATCACCAATTATTAATTAAAGTATCCTCTTTTTAATGCAACAAGCCGTTTTGAAAAATCACTTTTAGTTCTTGAGAAATAAATTTTTGAAATAATCGACAATTTTTTCGAATTTTGCAATTTTCGCCGATTAAGTTTTAAAAATTCGTATAAAATCCATTTCTTGGAATATGAGTATGAAAATTTCCCAAAGTGTTAATAAAAGTGTCCTCTTTCCAATGAACCAACCCGTTTTGAAAAATAACTTTTAGTTTTTGAGAAAACAATATTTGAAGTTTTGATAAAATTTTCGATGTTGCAATTTTCATCGATAACTTTCAAAATTCGCTATAAAATTCATTTCTTGAAGAATCCTTGTGGAAATATCACCAATTATTAATTAAAGTAACCTCTTTTTAATGCAAAAAGTCGTTTTGAAAAACCACTTTTAGTTCTTGAGAAATAAATTTTTGAAATAATCGAAAATTTTTTTGAATTTTGCAATTTTCGCCGATTCAGTTTTAAAAATTTGTATAAAATCCATTTTTTGGAATATGAGTATGAAAATTTCCCAAAGTGTTAATAAAAGTGTCCTCTTTCCAATAAACCAACCCGTTTTGAAAAATAACTTTTAGTTTTTGATCCTCTTTCCAATGAACCAACCCGTTTTGAATAATAACTTTTAGTTTTTGAGAAAACAATATTTAAAGTTTTGATAAAATTATCGATGTTGCAATTTTCAACGATAATTTTCAGAATTAGCTATAAGATTAATTTCTTGAAGGATCCTTATGGAAAATGTGGCAATGTAGGGTATCACTTCAGAAATGTACCAGAAATTATAACTATAATGGCCGGATAGATATGCTAGATAATCGGATATCCGGCCGAAGGGGATACCGAATATCCGGTATCTGGCTTTTCGCAAAATCATTATCCGTTTTATTACTAGTTTCTTCAAACTTCATTTCTTGTTTTTCTATCTCAGCATTCCTAGTTTCTTGAATCTTCGCATCTTGTTGTGCTGTTTGTTTTAAGTTTTTCCTTTCTGGTATTTCGACTTCTACATGTTTTTCTCCTTTTCTGGAATTAAATATTTGTTGATTTTGTTGATCATTTTTTTGTGCTAATCGGTTTCTTTATCATTTCTTCTTGTCTTTCCTTTATACTTATTCTGTCTCTACGATAAGATATTCCACCCACATCGACCAAAAAATCTCTTTCTGATAATTTTTTTCTATCTTCCCTTTTCTCTATTTTGAATCAGGTCTTAATTGTACATAAACTGATTGTCCTATCATCAAATCATGTAGTTTTCTTCGTCTTTCATATTTCTTTAAAAAATCTTGCATCTGTTTGTTGACAAAATATGTACCATGATCAGATATCACCAATCACTTCAAGAAANCGCCGATTAAGTTTTAAAAATTCGTATAAAATCCATTTCTTGGAATATGAGTATGAAAATTTCCTAAAATGTTAATAAAAGTGTCCTCTTTCCAATGAACTAACTCGTTTTGAAAAATAACTTTTAGTTTTTGAGAAAATAATATTTGAAGTTTCGATGTTTTTCGCAAAATCTCTATCTGTTAAATCACTAGTTTCTTCAAACTTCATTTCTTGTTTTTCTATCTCAGCATTCCTAGTTTCTTGAATCTTCGCATCTTGTTGTGCTGTTTGTTTTAACTTTTTCCTTTCTGTTATTTCGACTTCCACATGTCTTTCTTCTTTTCTGGAATTAAATATTTGTTGATTTTGTTGATCATTTTTTTGTGCTAATCGGTTTCTTTATCATTTCTTCCTGTCTTTCCTTTATGCTTACTCTGTCTCTACGATAAGATGTTCCGCTCACATCGATCAAAAAAGCTGTTTTTGATAATTTGTTTCTATCTTTCCTTTTGTCCTTTTTGAATCAGGTCTTAATTGTACATAAACTGATTGTCCTATCATCAAATCATGTAGTTTTCTTCGTCTTTCATATTTCTTTAAAAAATCTTGCATCTGTTTGTTGACAAAATATGTACCATGATCAGATATCACCAATGGGGCCGTTACTCTCAATCGAATAGAAAGACCATATTTCAAAAAATCGATAAACTATGCAAGAATAAAACGATTGGTAACATTTTCAGATGCTAAAATTGTTTAATTTTTGCAATAATTAATATTAAAATTCAAAATCCGCTGTATAAAAACTTTGGTGACGTTTCTCGTGGCATCTCGCTCATGCACCTTTTATTGATTTTTATTTCAACCAATCGCGTGCGAAACGACGGTGACGTCTCCAAAGTTTTTTCAAATTTTCATTATTTGGAAAAACTAAAGCACAATTTGAAAAATAAAAAATTATAGAATATATTTAATTATTGTTGGCTTTCATAATCTAAAAAATTTGACAAACAATATAAGATTTTAAGCCTAGTTTGTCTTTATTTTAGTAATTATATATTTAAAATACTCTCTTAAATGTATTATTCTTCTCAAAATGTATTGTTACAAATCACGTATTATTTTCTGAGCTTTTTTTATCTAAGTTTTCTTCTGCCGTTAAGGAACATAAATCTCTCTTTACTGAATTCGTTTTGGTATCTAAATTGTTAGAATTTTGACCGTTTTCATCTAAAATAATAGGTAATCTATCTCCCCATTTAGTTGATCTTGCACAATGATACATAGTTCTAAAATTTCAACCATTAATATTCAAAACAATCTTAATTTTTGTATGACACACTCACTTTCCGTGTTTTGATGCTGTAAAAATTACTTCAGATAATTTTCCATCAGCGGTGCAAGTTCTACAAATGCAATGTTTGGATCGAACTAAAGTTTCTCGAACAACCCGTGGCCAATTTTGCGTTGAATCCTTATCGACACCTAATCTCAAAAAAAAAAATTAATATAAAATTAAGTGTAGTAGAAAAATATTACTTTTTTTAAAGACTATGTAAGAATATCGTTCTTTTTGCATTTCAAATTTATTCGTTAACGGAATATGGAAGTAATTAATTTCAAAGTTACAAGGTGTGTTATCATCCGCTAAAAATCTTGGGCACACTAAATCGTGAGGGCACTAAAAGTAAGATAATAATTCAAGAATCATCATGTCGCTTAAAAAACGACCATTTTCTTTTAATCGACGGGAAATTATTCAAGTAAGCCATTACAAATAAAAAAAAAGTTCTGATAAGTGTAAAATTTATCAAAAAAATCACTTTAAAGTTTAAGTGACGTCACTTTTTGTCACGTCATCAACCGTGCTAATTTCGGCATATTTTCGGGTAAAATACGGTTGTTTCTTAGGTTTTGGACTAAAATGTCATTGTTTACCATTTATAAACTAAACATAATCTAAAATCTATACCTGATGCCCTCCTCTTTAAACGTTACATTCAAATATACGTAATTTACTGATTTATTTCAGAATTTTGTGTAGAAATTCTACTTTCAGATAGGTTAATTAATAGAATATAAAAAAAATTACAATATTTGCATAAAACGATGACTAGCACCGAAATTTCTTTACAATAAATTAGTCATCGTTTTATGCAAATATTGTAATTTTTTTTATATTCTTTTACGAAGAATGATGAACCTGGAGGTAAACATCGCCAGGTTAATTAATGTTTAAACCAGTGCGAATTTCTCAAATGTTGAATTGGGGATGGAGCAGAGGGTGGGTTGTAAATTCCGGGTTGGGTTATACCGATACTTTCTACTTCTAGGGTTAATTCTAGTTTTAAATGTATTTAGCGTTAGATTGTGGTGTATTTTTATTGAAAGAAAAGTAGCACTAACACTAGACCTAGAACCAGAAACATTCGGGTTTAGCCGTGCGTCTCTTAAGTCGGCTAAACCTGAACGTTTCTAGTTCTAGGTCTAATGTTAGTTCTAGTGATAGTGGTACTAGTGGTTCTAGTTAGCATAAGATATCACTGTGTTGCATATTTTTATTGAATTAAAATTAGAACACTAGACATAGACACTAGAGATTTTGGTGTTTTTTTAAACAGTTTCTTCGCAAGGCTAAGAAAAAAACTTTAAGGTGTTAATGTCAACTTTAAATTCATTGTTATATTCGTAATCTTTATAAAATAACCTTTAAAATGAGTCCAAACATGACGCACTTATCTCAAAAAACAAAAAAGTTAGAATAAAAAACATTAAACCCGAAGTTAGCAACAATGAAGATAGCAATTTAAGTTAAATGTTGACACCAACCTTAATTTTTGACTTTTTTTATTATATTTTCGTTTTTGTGACATTTTATAAAAATTAAGAATATATCAAAATGACGTTGACATTTCTAACCGGAAGTTGACCACAACTTCATTAATATTGAAGATAAACATGTCGTCTTTGTATTCATTTTAAAAGATTTTTAATGAAGATTACAAATATGTCAAAATTGAGGTTGACATTTTAAACCTGAAGTTATTTGTCATATAATAACAAGTATACCACAATTTAACGTTAAACAACAAAACATCAACTTTAATTTTATTATTATATTCGTAATCTTTATAAAATAACCTTTAAAATGAGTCCAAACATGACGCACTTATCTCAAAAAACAAAAAAGTTAGAATAAAAAACATTAAACCCGAAGTTAGCAACAATGAAGATAGCAATTTAATTTTTAAATATTAATACCAACCTTAATTTTTTATTTTTTTTTATTATATTTTTGTTTTTGTGACAAATATTAAGACATTTTATAAAAATTAAGAATATGTCAAAATGACATTGACATTTCAAACCGGAAGTTGCTTATATCTCGAGTAATATTGGAATTAAACGTATCATGTTTGGACTCATTTTAAAGGATTTTTCACGACGATTACAAATATGTCAAAATTGACGTTGACATTCTTAACCGGAAGTTGACCATAACTTCATTAATATTGAAGATAAATATGTCGTGTTTGTACTCATTTTAAAGGATTTTTAATGAAGATTCCAAATATGTCAAAATTGAGGTTGACATTTTAAACCTGAAGTTAGTTGTCATATAATAAAAAAATGGACAACTTCATGGTGTTATTTCATGATGTATTCTTTATTAAAAAACCTTTAAAATGAGTCCAAACATGATACATTTCTTTCACAAAACAAAAGAGAGAATAAAAAATATTAAATCCGAAGTTAGCAACAATGAAGATAGTAATTTAATTTTTAAATATTAATACCAACCTTACTTTTTTACTTTTTTTTATTATATTTTCGTTTTTGTGACAAATTTTAAGACATTTTATAAAAATTAAGAATATATCAAAATGACGTTGACATTTCAAACCGGAAGTAGCTTATATCTCGAGTAATATTGGAATTAAACGTATCATGTTTGGGCTGATTTTAAAGGATTTTTTTACGACGATTACAAATATGTCAAAATTGACGTTGACATTCCTAACCGGAAGTAACAAATTACCTACAAATTGTTTATTTTATAGCCATGCACAAAATCAATCTGATAAACTTACAAGTAATGTTATTTTTTTACTTTAAAATGAATACAAACACGACATCTTCAATATTAATGAAGTTATAGTCAACTTCCGGTTAGAAATGTCAACGTCAATTTTGACATAAGTTTATTATTCCAAGTTGTATATTTGAAAGAAGACTTGAACGACATATCAAGTGTGCTATATTTTTGGAAAGGAAATTTTATGCTCTCATCGAATTTGCAAAAATATATAGGGTGTTTAATTTAAAAAAATCATTTTTATGTCAATAACCACTAAAATATTGTTTTGAGGGAAAGCTAACTTATTCCATCGAATTCTACATAAAAAGTTGCTTTGGAAATGTTTTCACAGAAAGGAAGATTTATCAATAAGAAAAAATTTATGACTTTTCGAAAATGTACTTTTTTAAAAAACACTCTGTATCTCTAAAACCGTAAGATATCGATATACGGTTTTGGCCATTAAATTTCTTATAAAAATCGAGCCTCAGACACTGACATTATTTTTATTCTATCTCTTATAGAAAGAGAAGGTTCCCTTTAAAAGTGTCCAATTTGGCCCACCTATACAGGGTGGTTCAAATTCGATGTCCAAATACGCTATCTCGGAAACTATAAGAGTTAGAAAAAAAGTAGCTTACATGTCATGATCTCGTTTTTCGAGAAACTGCTAATGCCAAAATTCTCAAAGCGCTATCGTCTTTTGTTTGTTCCCTGGAGGCCAAAATTGAAAATATCGTAAAACCAGCAAGTGCAATTATCTTGGTTATTATTATAGGTGGAGTATTATAACTAAGACATTGTATGGACACTTTTTTACAGAGAATTTGAGGACGTAGTCAAAAAAAATTTCGGTTTTAGATTTTAAGATATTATGACAATTTTCGTTTTTTTAAGTGCAAACAACCACTGATTATTCGCTTATTAAATTCGTTATTTTTTCTGATTATAAAAATATAAAATTTCTTATTGTTTTAGAATAAAGCTAAAAATAAACTTTTTTTTAGTGTCCTCAAAGAAATTAAATTTACAGTTTCCTGTAAATTACGTTCTATACCTAAAAATTATTCTACTAAAAATTTATATAAAATTTACTTTATTTTCTAATATGTAATGTTCTAACATGTTAAACTTTCTGTAATTTTCGTAATCCATTTTAAAAAACAGGATTTTTAATTTGACACTTCAGAAAATTTTTGAATACAAACAAATGTTGCTGTTTATTTTAATTAAAAAAATATATATGAGCGCCACCTATCAATAATTTATTAGGTCAATTAATAATAATATTAAATATTAATAAAAAATGTGAAATAATGCAATCTATTCCAACTTTTGTTTAAAACAAATATAAATTAAATAGTTCAACTGTATTTGTTTCATATATCAGAAATATGCTTTTTAATTTTTAGTTATAATTTACAGGAAACTGTAAATTTAATTCTTTGATGACACTAAAAAGTTTATTTTTAGCTTTATTCTAAAACAATAAGAAATAGACCTATCAAACCCTATATTTTTGTAATCAGAAAAAAATAACGAATTTAATAAGCGAATAATCAGTGATTCTTTCCATTTAAAAAAACGAAAATTGTCATGGTATCTCGAAAAATTTTTTTTGACGTCATGAAACTCTCTGTAAAAAAGTGTCCATATAATGTCGTGTTACTTGTCGTTATTATACTTGTTGGCTTTACAATATTTTCAATTTTGGCCTCTAGGGGAAAAACCAAAGACGATAGCGCTTTGAGGTTTTCGGTATTAGCAGTTTCTCGAAAAACGAGATCATGACATGTAAGCTACTTTTTTTTTAACTCTTATCTGGAATTTGAACCATCCTGTACATGGTTAACATCGCTTGTGACGTCACATCGAAACTTTAAGTGATTTTTAGGTATGTTCTACACTTTTCCGCATTCTCTTTTAATTTTTAACATCAATTCACATTGATTTAAAAAAAATCGTCGATTTTTAAGCCACAATATGTTTGATATTAAAATCAAATTAATCATACAGGTGAAAAAATGTGGCCTTGATTAGATTGATTCATTTTCAATATGAAATCTCTCGCTTCATTAATAACCTAAAATTCGATTCTTATTTAAATTATTAATTTTATAATAACTAAAAAGCAATACTTTAAATCCTGCGTTAGATCCATTTTCCACAATTATTAAATATTTATTTGTTTTGTTCCATAATCTTAAAATTGTATCCATTCGAGTATTAAAAGATGGTAATTCCAATAAAGAATATGCAGATACAACTAAATCAAACATAACCTAAAAAATTTGTTTAAAATTAAATAGATATTTAAAAAAGGATATTTACATTAGTAGCTGGTAAAAATTGTCTATAAAAAACGCCCTTTATATTTTGATTGGAATATCCAGGTCCACCTCTTAATATAGTGAGAGCTAAATCGTTCATATCTCTTGAAATATCAACATTGTAATATTCAAAAAGATGTTTTTTCCAGTAAGTATTCGCCGCCCAAGTTACACTACCGACGCCTGACCCAAAATCGAATAAAGTTCTTGGTTTAAAATCCGGATCTCGATTTGATATCTCCAAAAATATTTTTGCTAAAACTGCATATTCCATCGAACTCCTTGCAAATAAATATAACAACGATTGTTGTTGATCATAATTTATTGGGGACCAATTGTATACTTTTTCTTTCAATAAAATTTTAACCTTATCTTTTATTTTTTGATGGAATTTTTCTTCCGATTGTATTTTAGAGTCTTTTTCCTTCCATAACTCTTGTTTATATAATTTATGTTTTAAATCGTTTAATTGATCACTTTCCATAGGCGGCACTCTATATCTTAAATGCCTTCCCAATAAATCTGAATTCGTTACAAGCGCTTTTATGGGATAATCTAGAATTGAGCAAATTAATTTGATGTATATTAAATCTTAATAAATCATTGTACCTGCTGTAATTTTAGTAATAGCTTTAACAATATTATCTGGTAAAGACACAGTTTTTAATTTAACAATCCCCGGGTGATGACGAGCTTTATAACTTTGATTTTCAACGTTTGAAATTACATTTTCATCGGCTATCACTTTTGGTTTTACATTTGTTGATAACTGTAACAATTTAAAGGTTATTATAAGTATATCTGTTATGTAATAACTTACTTTTCGATTAAATAATCGAATTCTTCGTAACATTATTAATTAATAAATTAAATGTAGGAGAATAACTTTTCATAAATGTCGAAAATTTGAGGTTAGTTTATATTTTTATATTATAGGTTATGTCATATACGCGTCGGTATTACAGGTACCTTTAATATAAATAACTTTAATAATATTTAATTAATTAATTAACATTTTATTTGTATAAACTATTGAATTAAAAAATTCATATATTTATATATGTAATTATTTTTTAAATTAGAAATAAATATTAAAAAAATTAAAGTTGTCTGTATTAACCGCGACGTCAAAATAGGGGGGATAGACGTCAAGCGTCGATCCCCACCGTCATAATGACGGTAAGTTCCAAGAAAAATACAAATATTATTAGTAATAGTGAAAATAGTGAGGTTGAATTAGAAATATGAATCGAGGCTAAACAATAAAATGAAATTTGCCGAACATTTATCGGCTCACATTACGCCGGAATGGCGCAAACAATACATCAATTACGAGGTTTGTTTTTGTCATTGATTTAGCGTTATTAAGATTTTAATTTTAATTTTGGTACAGGAAATGAAGCAACTTTTATATTCGGCGGTGGAACAGGCCCCATCGAGCGAACACGTAGAACCCGATGTTTTTCAAAGATACTTCGCCAAATTCGACGAGGAATTCTTTCATTACTGTGATAAGGAATTAGCGAAAATAAATACCTTCTATTCAGGTATAACTTGATCGATTTAGATGAATCCTTTCTATTTTAGAGATTATTTTACTTATCGCACGTGCGTTATTTCCCAATGACCTAGAAAACGATCTCGTTCCTTTCATTCTATTTGCATAACGTTGCGTGTCAGTGTTACCTTCAAGGCCTGAAATGAAACGTTTTGTATTGTTACAGAGAAATTAGCAGAAGCAACTAGAAAATATGCAAGCCTACGTAGTGAAATTATCGAAATTCAAAGCGATAACAATCAGAAAAAATCGTCAACGAGAGGACAAAAACTTCTCCGAAAAAAAAACGTACCACTTCGTAAATTACAAGAACTCAAACTGGCGTTTAGCGAATTTTACTTAAGTCTTATTCTCCTGCAAAACTATCAAAACTTAAATTTTACGGGATTCCGTAAAATATTAAAAAAACACGATAAGGTTGTTGATAATGCTTCAAAATTAATTTTTCTAAATACTCATTTAATTCTTGTAGTTGTTGTCTTCGGAGGTAGGTGCAAGATGGAGAGTGAATCACGTGGAGAATTCTCATTTTTACATGAACAAAGATATAGATCGAATAATAAGGGAAACGGAAAGCACCGTGACCCAGTATATAGAGGGGGGTGATCGTCAAAGAGCGATGAAGAGGTTGAGGGTACCTCCACTGGGGGAAAAACAAAGCCCGTGGATTACTTTTAAAGTTGGGCTATTTACCGGTTCTTTTACTATACTTTTAGTAACTGTGATATTATCAGGTATATTTAAGGAAATGCAATATTGCCTCTAAAATCTTGAAATTACTAAACTAGAACTAACACTAGACTTAGAAACTTTCGGATTGGGTTGGGTTTTTAAACCAATTGAATTCTCAACACACCATGATTAAATTTACCATGAAATAGAATCTGTAAAACAGTTACCTTTCTTGAATGTTTTAGTCATTAGGTAGGCAGATGAGGGATGAAACTAGAAGACGCACACGAATAGCTACAGACTTCTTATGAAGATGAGCCTTCCTCACGGTGAAATACCACATTGACTTTGCTGCTGTCTGTAGGATTTTGATTAAGATAGAACAAGCACTTCTACGAGAAGGAATTCATCTGCGAAATAGAAGCAGCTATTCGCGGAACAAAATCATATCTGACAGTTAATGAAAGAATGGCACGCCGGACAATTAGAGAAAAAAGTGCAGATATAACAAATAATAATAATAAAGAAAGAATATGACGATAAGCTGATGAGCCTTTATGATCCAGCCACTTACAAAAAAATTAAGTAAGACCCAACTGAGAATATAGTAAGGAAAATGAAAGAATTGGTGAATTCTGTAGAAATTCCAGTATCACTATTTCAGTACCACCAAAGACATTCCGGACGATTAGAGAAAAAAAGCAGATATCATCGTTCTACCAGTAGACAATAAGAATGCCGCCGTGGTCATGAAAAGGAAAGAAAGCCACGATAAGCTGATGAGACTTTAAGATCCAGCCACTTGCAAGAAAATGAAGTAGGACCTATCTAAGAAGGTAGTAAGGAAAATGAAAGAATTGGTAAAATCTGCAGAAATTCCAGTACCACCAAGGGCATTCCGGATGATTAGAGAAAAAGGCAGATATTATCGTTTTACCAGTAAACAATGAGAATGCCGCCGTGGTCATATATAAGAAAGAATACGACTATAAGCTGATGAGACTTTAGGATCTAGCCACTTACAAGAAAATTAAGTAGGGCCCAACTAAGGATATAGTAAGGAAAATGAAAGAATTGGTCAAAATTTGCAGAAATTGCAGTATCTCCACTTCAGTACCACCAAGAGCATTCCGGACGATTGGAGAAAAAAGCAGATATCNGGAAAAACAAAGCCCGTGGATTACTTTTAAAGTTGGGCTATTTACCGGTTCTTTTACTATACTTTTAGTAACTGTGATATTATCAGGTATATTTAAGGAAAAACAATTTAATATTTACAATATTGTAATATTACTAAACTAGAACTAACACTAGACTTAGAAACTTTCAGGGGTTTCTAAACCACTTGAACTCTTAACACACCATGATTAAATTTACCATAAAAATGGAATCTGCAAAACAGTTACGTTTTTTGGATGTCATTTCCCCATCTGTCTAGATGGGGACATGAAGATGAGCCTTCCTCCCGGTGAAAGACCACACTGCTTTTGCTGCTGCCTATAGGATTTTGATTAGGATAAAACAAGTACTTCTATGAGAAGGCATTTATCTGCGAAATGGAAGCACCTATTCGTGGAATAGCTGCATTGAAAGCGGAAGAAATCCGACAAGATATAGCGGGAGTACTTAAATCAGCGAAGCTTCCAAAATCATATCTGACAGGTAATTAAAGAATAGCACTCCGGACGATTAGAAAAAAAAGGGCAGATATCATCGTTCTATCAGTAAATAAAAGAAATGCCGGCGTGGTCATGGACAGGAAAAATTGCGACGATACTAAATGCGCCACTTACAAGAAAATTAGTAGTACCCAACTAAGAAAATAGTAAGGAAAATGAAAGAATTGGTGAAATCTGCAGAAATTCCAGTATCTCAATTTCAGTACCACCAAGGGCATACCGAACAATTAGAGAAAAAAGCAGATATCGTTCTACCAGTAGACAAAGAAAATACCGCCGTGATCAAGGACAGGGAAGAATACCACGATAAGTGGTTCTCTGTGGGATGTACCAGCAAAAGAAATTAATTTTAAACACAAGGAGCTTGCAGTTTCGTCTGTTCTGATCACTTCTATTTTTTGTTCAACTATATTATTGTTAACACCAAAGTTACAAGATCTAAAGGTAAATGCAGCTTCTCCGGCTGCTCCATCAGAAATTTAACCAAGCCGTGGAAATTAACGAGTGACGTTTAGTGTCGTTAACGTCGTTGACTGTTGCTAGTCAAGAAACACGCTTTTAAGTCCTGCAGAAGTTACTCAGGCTGTGGCTTTGGTGGAAGATGGACGTAACACTCGTTATGCTGCTCGCGTTCTTGATGCGATACAGAGTACGGTTTGTCGCGCCATTGAAAGATTTCGGCAGACTAGGACCTTCATCAGGCGACCTGGGTTAGGAAGAAGACGCACAACCCCGTAATGATCAATATATTATAACGACCGTGTTAAGAAATCGACATACTACAGTAGTTTTGATAAGAAATCGTCTGAAGCAAGTGCGTCGGATGAACGTGAGTGAAGGACATTTGAAGAACCGGGGTTAAGTTCACAGAGACAACTTCTTGTTCATGCACAATAATGCACGCTCCCATACAGCCCGCAAAGTGTCCCAACACCTGGATGATTTGGATATTAAGAGAATGGAATGGCCTGCACATAGCTCTGCCTGCTTTAAACCCTATAGGACACATGTGGGATATGCTAGGGATATCCCACATGTGTACTATATTATGTGGGATATCTCTAGAAGAAGGAGAGATATCGCAAAAGGAATTCAAAACCTGATTCGAAGTATGCCTTGAAGGATGAGGGATACCATTCAAACGAGGGAGGAAATTGATTTACTTGTCACAGTTTACTTAAATTTCATCGTCATCCATGACTTGCTTTAATTTCTGATGGCGCTGCAGAAGAAGCTGGGTTATCTTTTAGAGCTTGTAACTTTGGTATCAACAACAACAGAAACTTGATCAAAAAAACAGAAGTGATCAGAACAGATGAGACTACAAACTCCTTATGTTTAAAATTAATTTCTTTTGTCAATACACCCCACGGCAAGCTCAAAGTGTAGCAATACATTCAAAAGTTATTGCAGTTTGAAACTGGTCATCATTTTAGGTGATGCGTTTTTTATGCCGCTAAGTGTATTTATGTTCTCGTAAAATTTTCTACTTTCTGATTGGTTCCGAAGAGTCTCCATTTCCTGGAATTCGTTCTTCAATGCGTTCACTTTTCTATTTTTCTAAACGACATATTCCTTTTTTGTTTTCCTGGTCCTGCGTTGTTGCATTTTCGTCTAGGCTTTATTTTTTTCATTCCGGAGGAGATAGAAATTTCAAATATGGCTCAGAATAACACCAAATCACATTATGGACACATTTTGTGTTTTAGCTTCAAAGTGCTCCAAGATGGCACTTACCATCCAAATTGGTCACGTGGTCTTCGTCAGTATTACGAAAACCAAAAGAGATAGAAATGTCAAGTATGGCTCAAAACGTCATACAAAATCACCAATCCACATTTTGGATACATTTTGTTGTTTAGCTCTAATGTGCTCCAAGATGGCACTTACCATCTGAATGTATTATGTGGAAGTCGACGGAGTTATCGAAACCGAAAGAGGTAGAAATTTTAAACATGGCTCAAAACAGTACCAAATCACATTTTGGACACATTCCGTTTTTTAGCACTAACCTGCTCCATGATGGTAGTTACCATTTAAAGGAGTCACGTGGTTATCGCTACTGTTACGGAAACCAAAAGAGATAGAAATTTCAGACATGGCTCAAAACGTCGTAAAACATCACCAAATCACATTTTGAGCATATTTTCTTTTTTAGCTCTAAAGTGCTCCAAGGTAGCACTTACCATCTGAATGTATTATGTGGAAGTCGACGAAGTTATCGGAACCGAAAGAGATAAAAATATTAAATATTGTTTAAAACCATTCTGTTCCGACTTTCTTTAGATCCTTTCTCCCCAGGGACTTTTCTGCCACTTCTAGTACATCTCCTCAAAATGAATCGTATTGCTCATCGATGATGCATCCGTGTTACATTGTCTTTATAAAGTATGTATGCATGTAGTTTCACGTGGGGGTGAGTTTTTTCACAGCACTTAAAACCAGCCCAATCTTTTCATGAACGTTAATACATAACAGAAAGGTATGTTCCTTATATGCGAAATTTGGAGCCATGCTACTTTGAAAATGGATTCCCTTAAGTACGCGAGGTTGGGACAGTCACAAACAATATGACTTACCGTCTCGTCTTCCAATTCACACCCTCTACAGAGGGATGTATCCGCCAGCTTCATGTAAAACATGCGCTTACGTAACCTGCAGTGTCTGGTCAGGAAGTGGGAGAGAAGCCTCAAGTCATTTTTTAATTTTCCCAGAAACTGAGTAGAACTCTTCTGGTCAGGGTAGAGCAGAGTTTTCTTAGTAAAGACACCTGCTGCTGTCTCATCCCATCTGTCGCAAAAAGTAATCCTTAGTGAATGTAGATCAGGAGTCACCAAGGTGTAGCCCTTCCTTTCTCTTCCACAATTCTCTCAGGACATGCACTGTGGAAGGCCTGAGTTAGTGTGTCACCCAGGAGGTTTGAATAATTCTCCAATTCATCGGTATTTCCAGGAAGGGCATTCGGAAAATCTCGCAATTGCTCATTTAGACAGCTGGCAAAAGTGCTCAAATCAGTCCGCTTCGGATCCCGGACCCTCTTTTTCAAGAGCATAATTGGTCTTTTGCAACAGAATGAGCGTTGGAGTCGCAGCCTATGATGAGTAGCCAGTTATTTACCTTGCTAGCGTTGACTAATGTTGTCAAGGCCGCAGTGCGAGCCATCTATTCTATAGGCAGGTAGACAGATGCTAAAGTCAGCGTCGTTTTCTTCTTTGCTAGGAAGCATTGAATCCTGACTACAACGGAGTCTCGATTTGATTCTTCCGGCAGGAGATACGCCGAGATATGTCTACGAACGTAGATTGCAGCTCTCGATCGATTCTGAGTACTGAAAAAGAAAACAGAACCGCTAAGAGAACCGAAACCAGAAACATTTGAGTTGATGGTCCATGGCTCTTGAATCAGAGCAATGGTGTTTTGCATCATATCAAGGTGGCTGCATAATACTGAAGTTGCAGCCCTGCCACGGTGCAAGTTGCACTGTATTACTCTTAATGTTGCATAGTCCTCTCCAAACTCCTCTCTAGGCATCTGGATTTGGAGAGCAGGTGGGAGTCATCAATATTGAGTCAGACAGATTTGAAGACTGGTTTCGTCCTTTCTGAGCAGGTGGTTTCACAAACCCGCTTAGTGGTCATGGACGCAGAAATTGTCTCCAATCTAACCAAGGGAGATACTGAGCTGAACTGCTCAGCCCCGGTCATCTAGGTCTTGTTCGGTTCATCTTACTCATTGATGCCGCCACGCGACACCCGAGTGAAGATGGTACTAAGCAGAAACTTCATTCTGCCTTCGTGAGTAGCAAGCTTTTTCAAAAGCAGCGAAGATCATGAGCATGCCGTCTTCTTTCTCCTCAGAGTGTGACAAACATCAGTTTGCAATCTCTAAATGAGGATTTTGTTTGTTCAAGACGGCGATTGTCTCCGGGACATCCGCAAGTATATTAATAGCTTTTGGTACCCTTCTCATTTTTGGTAGTTCATCTTCCCGAACTATATGCATTCTATCATTACGCAACATTATAAAGTATGTTTCTATTTGGTTCTTTACGTCGGTGTATGTTCAATTCGTAAATCTTTGCGCTGTTTTCTTTCTTTTTGATGTTTTTTGACTTTTAACATTCATAACGTCGTTCTCTTTTCCGATTTTAGCATTAAGATTATCTAATATTTATTGAACTAAAAGTAAAACTAACACTAGACCTAGACCTAGAAAGAGATTTGATACGGTTAACGGCAGGGCAGTGGCATAAAACATGCTCAACCGTTTCTGCTTCTTTCGCACAGAGTCGGCATTCAACATCGTCGGCTAAACCCAACAAGTTGAGGTGTGCTTTTAATCGGCAGTGCCCATTAGAACTTTTATGCTACTACGGGCAAGTCCTAAAATATTCCCGGGTTTGACAGTGGCGTGGATGTTAATGAACACCTTAGCATGTCTCATTCCAGGAGCATTGGTCCACAGTAGGTGAAGTCTCTCTTCAGCCTACAGTCCAATCCTATATTTGGCCATCGCAAATGATACACCAACTGCTGGTTCCGGCCCCACAAATGCTTCAGCGCTGCCATCTCGTGCTAGCTTATCAGCCGCTTCATTGCCAGCAACCCCAGAGTGACCCGGGACCCAGATCAGAGAGACTCTGTTATCACAACTCAGTGTGTTCTCTTACAATCATTAACCATAGCCGACAGCGTTTTCACGGCTTGCAGCGCCTGGAGAGCGGCTTGACTGTCTGAGAAAATTCGTACTGTCATGTCCTTCACTCCTCTTTCAAGAAGGATTTTAGCATCCATGTCAATAGCAAATACTTCCGCCTGGAATACAGTACAGTACGTACCCAGGCTGTAAGCTTGCTTATTTCGAGGTGTCTGGCAGTATACTCCTGCTCCTACCCCTTCAGGCGTTTTTGATCCATCTGTGTACAAGCAAATGTCTACCTGAACCAGAGAATTTTCATTTTCGATCCAGGACTGCCGCTCAGNCAAAATCTGCAGAAATTGCAGTATCACCATTTCAGTACCACGAAGAGCATTCCGGACGATTGGAGAAAAAAGCAGATATCATCGTTCTACCAGTAGACAATAAGAATGCCGCTGTGGTCATGGATAGGAAAGAAAGCCACGATAAGCTGATGTAGATCCAGCCATTTACAAGAAAATTAAGTAGGACCCGACTAAGAAGATAGTAAGGAAAATGAAAGAATTGGTGAAATGTAGAGTAATTTCAGTTTCACACATTTACTACCACTGAGACTTTATGGATTACCTAAAATTCACAAACCAGATATTGTCAGTATCATAAATTCTAAACGTAGCAATTCTCGGATATTATGTTACCATATATTACCATGTTATTAGGTTGCCATTAAATCTGTTAGGTTTAGTTAGAGGCTATAGCTCTCGCCCTCCTTACCATCTACCAATTTACTTCTATAGAGTTCCAGTCACCAGTACATTATCTTATCTTGTTCCGACAATATCTCCGTGGGCATCTGTACACATTGATGTTTTTGGTTTAAATTCCCCTTGATTACTATTTATTTTCTGGTACTATCTTTTACTTTCTGTTTGGTTCCTGAGATTCTCCGTTTCCTGGAATTCGTCCTTCAATGCGTTCACTTTTCCATGTTTCGAAATGACTTATATCTGGTCCTGCGTTCTTGAATTTTCCTATAAGCTTTCTAACCATTTCTATCAGAACCATTCTATTCCGACTTTCTTTAGATCCTTTCTCCCCAGAGACTTTTCTCCCCTAACATCTCCTCTAAATGAATCCTATTGCTCATCGTTGCTGCCTCGTTCGTGTTCAGTTTGAAGCTATTTGATTCTTTACGTCGCTGTATGTTCAGTTTGTAAAGTTTTGCGCTTGTTTTCTTTTTTTTTAACGTTGAGTCGCTTACTTTTCACATTCATAACGTCGTTGTCTTTTCCAATTTTAGTAGTAGAGTTAGTACTAATGATAGCTTTAGTTGATTTCAACGCTAGGTTATTGTATACAGCGTGTCTCACGTAACTGGTTCGATAGAACTTTTTCAGGCAGCTTTTCAGTTTTCACTATTCGTAGACCTTTGAAATTTTGGTAGCCTAGGTTGCTTATGCGGAACTTCCGATCTAAAATATTTTCAAGATGGTTGCCACTTCCGGTAGACCGGAAGTAAACCATAACGTCGTTATTTTAAATGGAACGCTATAGTTTTTATTACACCATTTAATTGTACGTGAAAAATAGGTTGAGTTTGATACATTATAGTTATTGGTACCTAGCGTTTTTCGTTTTCGAGTTATTTTGGTTTTAAGCTAAATTTCAACATGTTCTTTAAATCTCCATACCTCTGCCAACGTTCATTCAAAAAGATCTACAATGTGCACGATTACACTTCAGATGCTGTTAAATAGATTGTCATTTGTTGTATCGGAGTATCTTATACAGGTTGGTCTAAAATTGAATTACTGTTTCTCCATATTCAATGGCAAGAAAGTCGAAAATTTTAAATGGAACGCCCCATATTTTTTTAGCCTATCAGAAAAGGAATTTAATTCTCTATAAATTATCTATAAACATTCCTATACCTATTTATTGTAGTTTGCCTCATATTGGGAAATTTATTAAAACATGCACGAAATGCAGATTTTTTATTAGAAACCTATGGAATTTTGACAGTTTTTGGTCTATGTTTGTATTATTGTCGTCATTAGCTACATTTGACGACGGGTATAAGTCATTGAACATCACGGCAGATCATTCCAACGCCGATATTTGAAATTTATTTTATATTGACCGCATATTTCCGGTCACCAGTGATGAAGACAACGAAATAAATATTTTATCGTATTTTATTACATTTCCAAATTCAATTTAATAACAAATTTATATTATAAATTTATATTTTTATCCAAATCTAATTTTTGTCATTAATTTTTTGTTTTAGAAATAATAATAGACATAAATTAAACGAAAAACTGTCAAAATGTCATGGCCTTCTAATAAAAATACAAACGTTTCCCTGCATTTCCTGCATGTTTTGATAAATTTACGAATACGAGAGAAACTACAATAAATAGATATAGGAATGTTTATAGATAAATTGTAGAGAATTAAATTCCCCCTCGGGTAAGCTAATAAAATATAGGGCGTTCCATATCAAATTTTCGACTTTCTTGCGGTTGAATATGGAGAAACGGTAATAGTATTTTTGACCACCTGTATAAGATACTCTGATACAATAAATGACAATCATGAATGAAAGCTAGAACTAACACCAAACCTAAAACTAGAAACAATCGGGTTTAGCCGTCTTGATAATATATATCTAGTTCTAGGTCAAGTGTTAGTTCTAAATCTAGTGTTAGTTCTAGTTTTGTCATAATTTACAATAATATATTAGCTAATATTTACAAAAAGATATTTCGCAATTATTTCCTTTATACAGGATGTCTCAGCGAGACCGGTCATTAGATGTTTCTGGGGTTCTGGCGAAAATAAAAATTTGAGAATTCAGACTTAAGTATTATCAATTACGATCTCTTCGACTAAAATATTTTCAGATTTCTTGCACTTCCGGTTATACCGGAAGTCGCCACCTACTTTATTTTTTATACTTTTATATTTTTCAAAAAACCTTAATTATTTCTCAANCATCGAACTGATTAGGTTCGTAATTGATTCCTGAGGAATTGCGGTAAACTCTTCTTCAAGAGCAATTCGTAACTCCTGAAGGTTGTCCGGTAGGACAGGACGACGACGAATGCGTCTCTGAAGTTGGTCCCAAAGATGTTCGATAGGGTTAAGGTCCGGGCTGCACGCTGGCCACTCTATCCGTTCAATACCCACCTCATCAAGATATTCGCTAACCACACGTGCTACGTGCGGTCGCGCATTGTCATGCATTAGCATGAATCCGTCACCAATAAAATGGGAATAGCGCACGACAGCTTCTTGCAGAATATCTTGGATATAACGGTGGGCATTAAGCGTGCCATTTTCAACAGAGATGAGCGTCGAAATACCGAACCTCCATGGAAAGGTACTCTTTCTGAAATTGTGCAGGTCGCAATCCTTTCATTACGACGTCTCCACATTCGTTCTCGACCATCAGGTGACCTGAGATAAAATCGGGACTCATCAGTGAAGAGCACCTTACCCCATTGTTCCATTTCCCAATTCGTATGTAGGCGCCCATATTGAAGACGTGCTCGCCGATGTCTCTGGAGCAGCCGCTGTCTTTTGACAGGTCTTCTTGCAGTTAGATCACATTCAGCAAGTTTTCGACGAATGGTTCTTTCACTTACGTCAACCCCACGCACCATTTGAAGACGATGCCGAGTTTCTACAGCAATCGTTCTACGATTCCTCAGAGTGTTTAGCACAATAAATCGATCATCAACTACTGTTGTTACTCGTCTTCTACCGGAACCTTGCCGTCTAGTAAAATTTCCTGCTTCCACATATCGGTTCCAGGCATCCTGAACTGTTGTTCGGGGTATACCCAACGTATGGGTAACGTACCGCTGACTTTTGCCATCTTCAATTAAACTAATAATACGCGCAATATCAGTTATTGACAACGCCATCTTTGACAACTGTCAATTTACTATTCGAAACAACTGACATACGCTACCTAGCGCGCCACCTTAGATTTTGTATGCTTGTTTTCACAGGCGTTCGCTTTAAAACACTGCATCTTCGTTAGTAACAGAGATAATACAGTGAATAAAAAAACAAATTGTTCAGAAAAGATTGGGTTACCGTTTGATTCCAGTTAACACCCTCTGCTGTAGTATCTGCACCCCACAGGGTATTACAAATTTCGAGAAAAAATGCCTTTCTCATTCTTGCACCCCGTATATGCTCAAATTAATATCCGAATAAAAATTTCTATCGCAGGATTATTACAGAAGAATCAACCTTTCGATCAAAAAAGGAATCATCAAAATCGAATGAGTGGTTCGCGAGAAACCCAGCTTTGAAATTGTGGCAAAATTTTAGTGGCCGGTTTTTTTTGCCGGTCAGTTTATATTAGTTAATATTTACAAAAAGATATTTCGCAACAATTATTTCCTTTATACTTTAATAATTTTTTTCAATTAGATATTTATAAAAGGGCTAAAACATTTTTATGAAACATTTCTATTATCATATTATTTACTTTCAGGAATTTTCCGTCAAGGAAAAGATGATTGGAGAGTAGCTTGTCGTTTATACCGAGGCCCCCTACTTATAATCCTTTCCATGTTTCTTTGGGGGGTAAACATTTACGGTTGGAGATCATCGGGGGTTAATCACGTGTTAATATTCGAATTGGATCCGAGAAACCACCTCTCCGAACAACACGTGATCGAAATGGCATCGATTTTCGGCGTGGTTTGGACGTTATCCGTTTTAAGTTTCATCTACAGCACTGAACTTGGCATTCCCGCTTACGTAAATCCTTTGGTTTTATTCGGATTGATGTTGGCGTTTTTGTTGAACCCGACGAAAACGTTTCGACACGCCGCAAGATTTTGGGCGTTAAAAGTTTTGGTGATATTAAAATAATAATTCAAAATTTGTATTAATTTTGTTGATTCTTTTAGGGGAGGATTCTTTTAGCTCCATTTTTTTATGTAAATTTCGCCGATTTTTGGATGGCGGATCAACTCGTTAGTTTGATTCCACTTTTTAGCGATATCCAATTTATAATTTGTTTTTATATTTCAATTGGTGATTGGTACACGGCTAAAGGTAAATGATTTTTTTGTTTTCCGATTGTTTTATAGTTTTATAATTTTACACCCAATTAGGTCATTTTAATTATAAAGAATAGAGTTCATTGATCGCTTTGTAGCCCTTTTTAGAAAAAAATTTGAACGTTCAAATTATTTCTTATTCCGTTTAAGATGCGTTTTACAGATTGGACCGGTTGCGTGGAAAAACGGATCTTCCTCCGGCTGTTTATAGCATGTTTGCCTCCGTGGTTTAGGTTTGCGCAATGTTTGAGGAGATACAGAGACACTCGAGAAGCGTTTCCACATCTTGCGAACGCTGCCAAGTATGCTACGTCTTTTTTTGTTATGACCTTCACCACTTTATTGAATGTTTACTCGGGTAAAAATAAATTAACTCGGTTTAATGTAAATTTTTATCTAAAAATAATTTTTAGATAATTATCAGTCTATGATGGAGAATCCCTTTTTTTATTTTTGGATCAGTTCGTCGCTAATCAGCTCGTGTTACGCCTACACTTGGGATATCAAATTGGATTGGGGGTTGTTAGATTCGAAAGCGGGTGACAATAAATTTTTACGAGAAGAAGTCGTCTATTCTTCAACAGTCAGTTAAATCCTCGCTTTTAATCAACCCGCAATAACTTGTTCATAATTTTTTGTAGTGGTTTTATTACTTCGCAATAATAGAAGATTTTATACTACGCTTCGGCTGGGCTTTTTCAATGTCCCTTACTGAATTAGGCTATGTCCATGGAGATCTCATGGTGACCATTCTTGCACCGTTAGAAATATTTAGGTAAAATTTACTCTTAATCAAGTGCAAATTATTCTCAGAAAAATCTTTTAGGAGATTTGTTTGGAATTATTTCCGATTGGAAAATGAACACCTTAATAATTGTGGAAAATTTAGAGCTGTCAGAGATATTTCTGTGGCCCCGATGGATTGTTCGGATCAAATGTTGATTATACGGATGATGGATGAGGATGACGGAGTCATAAACAGAAAGAAGAAAAGGATTAAGAGAAAGCAAGAACAAAGGTTGATGCTTGAGGGGGAATCAACTGATGATGTTGATAATTGATTGATTTCGAAAGATTGTTGTTAATTATTGCTTTTTAAATGTACAAATTAAATTTAATATGATGTTTAATATGCTTTTTTTAAAGTTACTCCAGTGACAGTTCCTTCCAAATTTGTCTATCCCAACCCCATTCAGCCTTCAATATAGAATATCTGCAATGGTAGGAAATTCAAATTTTGCAATGACTGGAAGTTAATCTCTCATGATCTTGGCATCATTACCGAAATCGTAAGGTCTAAAATTGTCCAAACTGAGTCTAAACTTGTTTAAACTCTACAAAATTGACCAAAATGATCATAATGTGTCTAAAATTACTTAAATTTGTCTAAAATATGGCTAAAATTATCTAAACGTGGCCCAACTTGTACAAAATTGTTTATGTCTATAATGACCAAAATTTTACAAAATAGTTCAAAATGATCAAAATGTATTTAAACTTATCTATATTTTGAAAAAATTTTATAAAATTGTCTAAAATGATTAAATTGAATCTAAAATTATTTATATTTATTGTTATTTACTAGACTAAACATGCACAAAATTATCGGAACTTGTCAAAATGTGTCTAATATTATCTAAATTGAGAAAAACTTTACAAAATTGTCTAAAATTATCTAAACTTGCTCAGAATTGTTTGAAAGCGCAAAATTTGCCTATAATTATTTAAATTTGTCTAAGCATGTGTAATATTACCTAAAATGATCAACATTTTTCCTGATAGTGTTAACTTCTTTTATTCTAAATCTGTTGCTGATATTATTATAAAGCCTGACTCAGATTTATTAACGTTCTATCATACCAATCAATTAAATCCTGACTGTACTCCTTTTACCTTCAAGGAAGTGTTCATGGATTCTATTGAGCGGTATCTGCTTTTGTTTGAGTCTACTAGTATTGGCTCGGGTGATATTTCTCTAGATATGGTTAGGTTGTGTTTTTTNGGTAGGACATGTCGGAACAGTTTTGAGCATATTGCTTAAATCTGTAAATGGTTGTTCTAGCCACTTTCTCTATATGCAAATGCAGAGGAGATAGGCCAAGCAGAACCTCCATTGCTAGAGTTGGCGTTGTGCCTATCGGACCAGAGATAACTGAAGTCTGTCAGACTTTCCTATACCAGGCTGCTACTCCGTATGTGATCATAGGTCTCCAGAGTCGCATAGAGCCAGTACAGTCTTTCAGGGGTAAGACCCCAATTTTTTCCACAAAGACTGCGGCAACTCCACAAGGATAGTCTAGTTTTGTGCAAAACTCACTGCAAATGTCCATTCCATGACAGGGTTTTGTCTAGGATTACTCCTAGATATTTGACTTCCTTTGAGAAAGGAATTTCTTCACCTTGGATAGCTGGGTGGATTAGTCCATCCAACTTTCGTTTCCTGGTGAAGGGCACAACAATTGTCTTTTGCGCGTTTTGCGCGTCTTGACAGACGCACACCTAAACTCGAATGCTTCTAGTTTTAGGTTTAGTGTTAGTTCTAGTTTTATCATCATTTACAATAATAAACTGACCGGCAAAAAAAACCGGCCACTATAAATTTGCCGCAACTTCAAAGCTGGCTTTCTCGCGAACCGCGCATTCGATTTTGATGATTCTTTTTTTGATGGAAAGGTTGATTCTTCTGTAATAATCCTGCGATAGAAATTTTCGTTCAGATTTTAATTTGGGCATATACGAGGTGAGAAAAATGAGAAAAACTTTTATTCTCGAAATTTGTAACTCTCTGTGTGGTGCAACTGCTACAGCAGAGGGTATTACCTGGAATCAAACAGTAGCCCAATCCTTTCTGAGCATTTTCTTTTTTTATTCACTCTATTATCTCTGTTACTAACGAAGATGCAGTATTTTAAAGCGATCGCCTGTGAAAACAAGATCAGTGACAATAGTAGCTGATGACCGTTTTATTGTTCTAAGCAATCGTAGAACGACAGCTGTAGAGCGTCGGCATCGACTTCAAATGGTGCGTGTTGTTGATGTCAGTGAGAGAACCATTCGCTGAAAACTTGCTAGAACTGGTCTGGCTGCAAGAAGGCTGCCAAACGGCCGAGGCTGCTTCCTAGATATCGACGTGCGCGTCTTCAATCTGCTCGCTTACATGTGAATTGGGAGATGGAGCAATGGAGGAATGAGTAGTGCAAGGGAGGTCCTTTTTACGGATGAGTAGTGGTTTTGTCTACTATCACCCGATAGCCAGGAGCGAATATGAAGACGTTGAAATGAAAGATTTGTGGACTATGTCTGGTTCTGTAATGGTGTGGCCGGGAATTTCCAAAGAAGCCTATACAGATTTTTAATCATTGTTAAAAGTGGCGCCTTAAATCACTGACCTTGAAAACTAAAACTGGGCACCCGAAACAGTTTTGCAGAAGCACTTACATTTCTTAGAATTACAGAATTGCAGACGTCCTTCATTATTGTAAACATCTGTTCTCAGTTCTAATATGCGGTAAAAACAAAGACAAATAAACAAGAAAACAAATTTAATTTAATGTAATAATTAATAATAACACGAAAATTAATAGCGTGTGTGCCCCCCACGAGCCAAAATAACATCATGTAGTCGACGCGGCATCGAACTGATTAGGTTCGTAATTGATTCCTGAGGAATTGCGG